AAAAAAATAATGGAGAGCAGAAAAGTTACCATGTTAGTGACAATAATGATAGTTATGATGATGGGAAACCTTTTAGACCAAGCAAAGGCTCAAACAAATTCTTTAGGTCAAAAAGAGGATAAGAAAATCCCTTTTATTCAGTGTTATCCACCTTGTCTTCTAGTGTGCAAGAGTATGCACAAGTTTCCAGCGTTTCTTATATGTCCATTTACATGTCTTAAAGCCTGTCTTTTTCCTACTTCACCTACTGATCCATCTCCATCTCCCACCCAAGTAAGTTTGCTTTTTTCGAAATTCCTCAAATTCATGAAATTTACTAATGTGTATTTGAATATGTTGCTTGTTAATTGCTTAATGGTTAACTAATACGCGGATAAAAGTCATATTTAGGTATTTTTATGTCAAAAACTATATTTTAGAGAAATTTCCTAGGATATATCTATTCTTTCTTTTTTATCACAAATAGACTTTAAAAATAAAAATGTCCAAAATATACTTAAATGTTTTATAAAAAATAAGTAAATATACACTTATACCATTTGTGTTAACTAATTTAGAGTTGAAGAATAGGTTTAGAGTTGAAGAATAGGTTTTTGGGACTAGGATTTCAATTTTTTTTTTTAAAAAAACAACTTAAAATTTTTAAAATAAAATATGTTATTTTAGTCATTTTAGGTTTTGAGGTTTATTTTTGTGATAAAGACTTAAAAGTTCTATTTGCAAGATTATTTGTCCTATATTTTATTTATGAAAGTTGCAATAAAACTATTTTCCTTAATTTTATGTATATTACATTTTCTAGAAAAAGGAATACTAATTTCAACTTTAAAACTTGTAACTAGTGCAAAGTAAAAAGATTACTATAACGTGGATTGGCGGTTAATTACAAAAAAAAAACTGTAAAAAGTCCCATCTTATTAGAACATATTTTGTAACATCTCCTTTTAGCATCTGGATATCTAAATACATAATTGTATATATTGATTCTAATAGTTGATAATTTATTTCTCTTTTTGTTTTTGTGGTTTTTGTTGTTTGTGCTATGAACAGATGTGAAGAAAGTCGCAGCCTGTGTTGATTCACGTTCGACTAAGTGTTCCAGGAAAAACTAAAAGTGATACTTTTACTACTATTCAAATTAACATTTCAATTAAAAGATAAGAATACATTGTATTGGTTAGTTTTCAAATAAAATGATTAGTTTATTATTTGGTCTGGTATTTTTTGGTTATAAACATATCAACTGAAACCATCAACTCAAATCACTCAATAAAGAGTACGTACTTAACAAGGAAAGGATATGGTTACTAATCTTCATAATTAGTCATGACGTACCTATGGCTATGTGTATACACATGACATACCTATAGCTATGTGTACACACATGACATATCCAATACAAGCAAAGCACCACAAGTCCATTCATGATTGTAAAATGAAGAAGTACTGATGAAAAACAATATGTACATGTTAGGTGGGAAAATGGGTTTTTAATTCCCCAACTATTTGCAGTTAACACTTTTATTACCCAACTATAGATTGTGCAGAATTAACCCCCAAGTTAATTTTGACTATGCAAAATCAAACTTAAAAAGTGACAGAAAACATTAATTTAAATACAAAAGGAGATTAGTTTTATCTTTTAAAACCAAGAAATCTTGCACTTTGGTTCCTCAGTTGATTTTGGAGGAGACGAGAGATAAATTCCGGCTAGAAGAGGTGAATTCCAAAGAGAAGAGGAAGCGACGGCAAGCATTACGAAAGCCCTGATGATTTATTTTCTGGGGCAGAGAGAGTAGAAAAAGTGAAAGACATAGTTATAAGCAAGATGCGAACAAGACCAAGATCAGTCAATGTGTGGATCAACCTTAAGTGCTTCTGAGGGAGGAGAAGATGTAACCGTAAAGATGGCTTTAACAAAATCACATAAACTTGAGGATGGAAGAGAAGGTGGATATGTTTTGTTGTACAAGTCACTCTATACAATTGCTGGAAAACATGGATGCTTGACTACAAAGGAGAAGCCATGGAGAGTTGTAGAGTAAAAAAAATGGAATGTACGACAGTGTAGTAGGAGTAAGAGATATTCATATCTTCTTTTTTTTTTTGGACAAAGAGATATTCATATCTATGTGGCTGCAGAGAAGCAGAACCATTCAAGATGGCTAGAGATTTGAAGAATATTGCATTATCTTGTGATGAAACGAATTCAAATTTGATCTTTTCGACTTGTTATGAATATAGATGAATTAGCTATTGATGATACTTATTTACTGAACGTCCATTTTAGTAAGAAAGTTATCTTCTTGATTAGTTCAATCTTGTAATCAAAACACTAGATGTATATATATTCAACCAAAATTTTATAGCCAAAGGATTAAATGTACACATTAAGACATAACAATTGTCAAAGCTGACATAACATAGATGCAAGGTTCTCTTAACACTATCTGCAACCAATTTGAGTTTGCCTTGAGTCAAATCTCTTGTACCAGAACGATTGACTTCCAATTACGACATTCTCTGTGTACATTTCTTCCAGTCATCAACACGTTACTAATAAGCTTACCTCCATGGCTTTAGCTGTAAAACTGTTTTATAAATCTGTATCATAATGATTTCCTAGACATAGTTCGATTTGAGGTCTGCACAAACTAAGTTTAGCATAAACAAATTGTTGTGTAAACACAATATGATTTGTCTTTTTGGTTTGAATTACCCGACAAAGAAACGTAACGCTGGTTGTTCATTGTTTGGCTAGTTCTAGGTGTCCTTTGATGGCAATGTCAGAATTAGATGGTCTCGCCTGAATGGAATCAGAGTGTCTTTCTTTCTTTTGAAATCACCTCAGAAACTGATTTTATGATTCTGGGTCTAAAGCAAAACCTGATCCCCTTTTGTATTAGATTAACGCTTTGACTATTTTTAAGTCTGATTTTGCATAGTCAATATTAACTTGAGGATTAATTTTACTCAACTTATAGTTGGGTATTAAAAGTGTTGATTACAAATAGTTGGGGAATTAAAAGTTCAATTTCCCCACGTTAGGTTCATGCATAACGTCATATCATAAAAATAGATTCTAACCATCTCTAAATTCTATACGTAAGGAAAAAAATCCACATATTTTAAGTGAATCGACTAAATTAATTACTCACTATATATATTATTATACCAGAGCATATCAATACTGATTTATTACCAAATATGGAAATGTTAACTATATTAAACACAAAGATACACAGTCCCTACATGTATATATACAAACCCTAGAACCTACACAAACCAACATTCATAATCAACAAACACGTTCAGTCAAATTTGATTATTTTCTTTTCTAAAAAGATCTTTGTTACCCCACAAGAAATATGGAGCACAAAATAATCGCGATGTTAGTGGTGGTGATGTTCATGGGGAGCCTTTTGGTCGAGACAGAGGCTATAGAATTTCAAGAATGTTACAAAGGTTGTACTTTGGTTTGTGGTGCAACTGCGGGAGGATTTAAAAAATTGGCATGTCCTTTCACTTGTGTCAAGGAATGTATAAATCCTTCTGGACTAGATCTTCAGGAAATAAACCAAACTGATTATTTTTGCACACTCGGATGTGCTACCACTCATTGTGTTTCATCCTCCTCGACCAAAGATAAGGGTAAGTTTTACATTCTTGTATATACACTTCAATCATCTGAATTAATATTTATGTTGTGTGCAGATCACGCAGAGAAAGTTTCTGTATGTGTGGATTCATGCTCACATATGTGCTCTAAAAAGAACTAAAAGTCTACATTAATCCGTTTTCGTTCTTTGTAATTTTATTTCTAATAAAAAGATATAAACATGCAATGTTTGTTTCGAATAAGAGTATTCAAACCCAAAGGAGAATTGATATATCGATTTGATATTTTATTGTGTTACAATCGAAACAAAGAGTCTAAAATGATAAATAAAAGAAAAGGATGTTAACTAACAATTTTGTAGATTGTCCAATGTGTTTCACGCTTCCATCTAATGCTGTTGCAATAACGATTGTTGTTAATTACTTGACATTTCATTCAGAGAAAGCTTTTATGATTAGTTTATCGATATCATCAATCGACAAAATGGACCGAACTTCATCGTTGTCGTTTGTTTATTTCTCCAATGTCCAAGTATATTGCGCAAACATTTTCGTTAGACTAAACATTGTAATTCATGTTTATGCATCTTTGAATTCCGAGAGCTGCTCACCTCAGAACGGGTCGAACTTTGGTATTACTGTATACAACTAGATTTACAAAAAGGGATAATCTCCAAATCGGATTATAAACGGGCAAAATAATTTCCCATTACTGTAATTATCATATCACCACATGATATTATACCATGATTTGTCGTTGACTACGATGACTATTATATTTATCAAATTTATTTGATATATACTATATTGGCTAATCAGATCTGTTTTAAAAACGCATTTAATTCTACATTTTTTTATGCACCTATTGCTACAAAATAAATTAGATCCTCCTATATATTAAATGAGAAGTCACTTTATTGATTTCTGGTGATGTATCGCTCATATGTGAAGTTTCAAGAAATCTCTTATATATTAAAAGAGAAGCATTTTGCATTAAATGTGTTCACATTGAATTGGAGACAATGTTGACGTGTCGCTTCCATAATGCTTCTCACAAAAAATATTGCCAAATTCATAAAACAGATTTTCTAACTTTCCATATTACATGTCTTGATGTATAAAGATTTATTAATGGTTTCTCACAATTCTCTTGCGATGATTCATCTGTAACAAAGAGACCAACTACGCCATGTGATCCTCGAAAAGATCGAGATGAGTAAATCGAAGAAAGCATCCCTCATGGATATGTATGTTGCCAAATGCTGAATGTTGTTGTTGCCAAGTAATATCAAACGTAAACTTTTTTTCCTGTCAAGAGTTATCGGCAAACCTGTGGAGGAAACTCCCTCTTTATCCATGATTATCTCGACGAAAGAATTGATGGTAGTTTAGCTTTTGACGATCGTTCAACACCTCCGAAGGATTTTACATTTTCTTAACTTCTAAGCGATTTGATACGATAGAAGATATAACATGAAAACTTCTTTTCCGGTTTCTTCACGGAGCTCCCATTAACAAAAACTTAGGATTGCCTTCGAAACTGACAATCTTCACGAAGAGCATTTTACTACAAAGAAAGTTTCTTCATGGAGTTTGACCAACACGAGGATAGTACAACTTCTAGGAAGGAGTTTAGGTTTTTTTAATGTATAGCATGAAAGTTTCTTCTATGGAGCTCCCATCAATACGAAAACATACATGGAAGTTTCTTGTACGGAGTTCCCATCAGCTCTCAATAAGAAAGCAATACGGAAAAGCCATAACATGAATTTCATAGTCGATTTCCTCAAAGAAGCATGAACTTGCAAAATTTGCTTCACGATCTTCAGGGATACAAGACATTTGTATGATCATGAAGCGAAACTTGCAAAACGAGCTTCCTCTCTTTTCACAGAGAAGCAATACGGAGAAAACATAGCATGAACTTGCCTAAGAATCTTCCTCTCTTTTCAGGGAGAATACTGACAATGAGGCAAGTCAGTGAATTCAACATTAGACATAGAGGAAGCATTGATTTTTTTATAGCACAAACTCAACTCTCCGTTATATAAGTTTCTATACATGCATGATTGTATTAGAAAGATGTCAAGTATAAAACATGCACATACTTGTTTCTTTCGTATCATTTTTCCCAAGTGAAAGTTTAAACCGAAATTCTTTATTAATTTGGTTAAGACATTTAAATCAAGTTAACCATCGGTTTTTGTAATTCTGATTTTGAAAACCATGCGTTAATTTTTTTAAAAATGATTTCGCTACGTTTGAGTGATTGGAAGGTTGATTAATGATAGAAGATTTACATAGATTTCAAAACTTTGGTTTATGGAAATATATATATTCTTGTGGTAGANTATTAATTTGGTTAAGACATTTAAATCAAGTTAACCATCGGTTTTTGTAATTCTGATTTTGAAAACCATGCGTTAATTTTTTTAAAAATGATTTCGCTACGTTTGAGTGATTGGAAGGTTGATTAATGATAGAAGATTTACATAGATTTCAAAACTTTGGTTTATGGAAATATATATATTCTTGTGGTAGAAGAAAATTTCTGAGCAAGACACAAATATTGACATTATTTTTTTATTGGAGATACGGCGTAACTTCCATTAGGTGTCTTATACCTATATAAGACTCATGTCTCCCATCTTCTTACTCATAACCTAAACCCAAAACCTAAACATTTTTTCACTCATTCTTTTATAAAGAATGCGATAACTGCTATGTAAGATATGAAACCGTTCAAGTCTATATGGAAGATTATGGTGAAGATCACGCGTTTGTGGAATCAATATTCTGCAACTGGTGGTCTAACGACTGAGATGGTTCTAATCGACTCAAGCATAGGCATCATTTACTCTTCAAATTAATAATCTTATGTATGCTTAATGTGTCCATATAATTTCTGACTATAACTCTTGTCTTTGTAGGGTGCTAAAATTAACAGTTCTGTGAAAAAGAATTTGGTTAATCAAATTATAACCAAACCGATGTTCACATTAACATACATAATGTCTTCTTATTTTATAAAAAACAAAGATAATAATCTCATCCCGTGCAAGGCACGGGTTATGACCTAGTTGTTATAATTTGATTGATTGATTATTTTTAATTTTTATTTATTTAATTTAGATCTAAAAATTAAGGTAAGTATAAAATCAATTAGTATTACTTGCCATATAATCTAAAGAATATTACAAATAACAATTTATGGAAACTAATTCTCAAAATTATAGAAAGATTAATAATGTTTTATTTATTACTTTTAATATTTATAAACTATAATATATAATGAACAAATTTTTATATAAGATAATTATAATAGTTTTATACTCTACTTGATGAATTGTATTCGAATATAATTATATAATAACTATTTTAAATATTGGAAAAGCCAAACATGTTTATTAATATTATTTTAAATTATTTATTGTTGTTTAAAGAATAAATTTATCTAAATTTTATAATTTATAAAATGTTATAAATTATTTATAAAAATATTAACCTACTATATATTGGTTGAGAAGTAAGTGATTTTTTATTATGTGCATAAATGATCTCTTCAAATTGTTATAATTTAATTGGCCGTTGATTTTTAAATTTATTTATTATAATTATATCCAAAGGATAATTCAATTACAACTTTCCAAATAATCTACTTAATTTAAGAAATAATTATTTCTGGTAACTAATTGTTGAAACTATGAAAGAGTAATAATGTGGTCAAAATTTTATATATTTATAAATTACATAAAATAATAAACAAAAAATTTTATTTGAATTGACATAATGATTTTATCCTCCTATATATTAAATGAGAAGACACTTAGTGATTTCTGTTGACGTGTCGCTCATAGGTGAATTTTCAAGAAATTGTTATAATTTGATTGGTCGATTGTTCTTAATTTTTATTTATTTAATTTAGATCTAAAAATTTAAGGTAAGTCTAAAATCATTTAACATCACTTGCCATATAATCTAAAGAATATTACAAATAAACAATTATGGAAACTAATTCTAGAAATTATAGAAAGATTAATAATTTTTTTATTTATTACTTTTAATATTTATAAACTATAAAATATAATGAACGAAATTTTATATAAGATAATTATAATAGTTTATACTCTACTTTATGAATTGTATTCGAATATAATTATTAAATATTAAAAAATCCAAGCATGTTTATTAATATTATTTTTAAATTATTTAGCGTTCTTTAAAGAATAAATTTATCTGAATTTTAAAATAAGTTATAAAATGTTATAAATTATTTATAAAAAGATAAAACCTACTATATATTGATTGAGAAATAACATAAATGATTTTTTAGTACGTGCATGAATGGACTCTTCAAATTGTTATAATTTGATTGGCCGATGATTTTTAATTTTATTTATTATGATTGTATCTTAAGGATAACTCAATTACAACTTTCCAAATAATCTACTTATTAAGAAATAATTATTTATGGTAAATAATTGTTAAAACTATGAAAGAGTAATAATATGATCAAATTTTTTAATATATTTATAAATTACATAAAATAACAAATAAAAATGTTTATTTGAATTGATATAATGATTTTATATTCATATAGAAAGCCTTATATTTTTATATAAAGTATCATAATAACTATTAATGTTTAATAAATTTCATGCATGCTTTATAAATCATTTATAAAATTATAAATAAATTTATAAATTATTTATATTGCCTTATCAGATGTTTTAAATTATTATAAGAGGTTCTAAGTCAATTATAGAAGCTTATATATTAATTTATAAAATGTATTTTGCAAATTAATTTTATATTAAATGAGAATTCATTCAGTTAATATTTTTTAGGTGTCTTTGAGTTTTAGAAAAACTATTACAATTTGATTCCTTAATAAATTTTCTATTTTATGTATTTTATTAGTAAGAAAATCACTTCTAGAACCAATTTTTATCAGTATCCAAACGATATAAATATATTTCATAAAATAATTTATGGTAATTAAATATTTGATTTATATAAAATATATGCAATGCTCATAAAATCATTTTATTACTCAAGTGTTTATAAACTACATAATATATTTCAAAAGTAATGTATATAATTAATATAGTAGTTTTATATTGGGTAAACGACCTATTTCCCCATCATAACTATCATATAGTAATACATGCATACAAACTTTGGACCTGATATATCAACCTATTTCTCCCCAAAAAGAAAGATTGAAACCCGATTCCCCCTAAATTTTGAAGAATGTACTAATACCTACAAATGACGGTTTAAAGTAGGTTTAGTATTCTTTTTCTGATTTTTTTTTAGTTTTTAGGGTTCCAAAAGAGGTGAATCGCTTAGGGGAAAATTAATTGAGATTCGGGTCGGGTTATAATTGATTCTTTACGGTCAGGTTGTACCAATGTTAATCGAAACCATTGGATTTAATATCGGTTAACGCTATAGACAATTAAAACCAAACTCAATTTTTCGTCTGTGTGGAAACGAGTTTTGATCTTTCATTTTGCGGAGAAATAGGTTGCTATAGTTTAATTGTGTGCAATTCGGACGAGGTCCAAAATTCGTGTGGATCTGTTAGTATACGATAGTTATGGAGTGGAAATAGGTCGTTTACCCTTTTATATTCCTATGTAGTTGAATATGAATATATAGAGAATGTGTAAATCATATTGTTTTATCTTTTAATCTTAATAAAGAGTAAAGACATATGACTTTAGCTATAAATTATTTAAAAATTAAATGTTTCAATACTACATACCTTCAAAACTCACTTATATTAAAAACTGAATTATGAATATTATATATAACTAATTTTAGTAAAAAAATTTAAATACAAAATATCAACAGATATATAAAATAGTCATAATCATATTTTTCAAAAATAATTATTCTTTAAAAATATTTAACAATAAAAACATATACATTTTTTATGATGAAAAAATATCTTAATTTGACAAAATATAATAAATATATTGTTACAAAACATTCATACCCGCAAAATTGCGGGTATCCACCTAGTATTACATTGTTTGACTCCAATTTTGAATATGTTTCGACTAATATTAGTAACCGAATCATCTGGTACCCGACTACCATGTTAACTACATGGACTAATAAAGCTTTATTCCTAATAAAAATATTTCTTATTTGTCAACTCTTATTACAGATAAGAGCTGAAGAGATTTTTATAAAAAAAAAAAAAAACATGTGCATTATTAAATGGGAAAATAGCATAAAAACCTCTAAGGTGGTAGTTACTTACGCTTTAAACCCTTAGAGTTTTTTAGAAGTCTTTTAAACTTTTAAGTTGATAAATTTAGTATATTAAACCTTCAATCTTGCTTACTTGTACATCAAGTCAAAAATGTAACCGATAATATTCAAAAACGATGACGTGTCGGTTTGTTTTTAAAAAAAAAAATTTACTAATAAATAAATATAAAACTATAGAAAATGTAAAAATTCATTAAAAATTAAAAAAAAAAATATAAGTGACTGCCACCTTGAAGTTTTTTTATACTATTTTTCCATTATTAAAATATAAGTGACTAAGATTGAGCACAAAAGAAACTAACTGTTTACAATTTTATATATGGCACATCATTGCTTGTTGTTGCCACGGTCAACGAGAAATGACCAGATAATTCCGATGCAAAATCATCAGATCAAACACTTATAGCGTATTTCTATTTACATGAAGATCTGTACAAGATAGTCAGAAATGTGGAAGGAAAAAAACCGGAATCAGATCAAATCCAACTATTAGAGAGAGAGCTATTACGATTTATGACAGTAACTAAGATCATCATATCAGGGACAACACGTGTGACTTGGACGAAACACCATATGCGTGTGAGTGAAGCTGGTTCTGTCAGAAGGCTCGACAGAGTGTATTAGTCGTGGCCAAGTTAGAAGAGTGTTGCTGTTCAATGGGACTGTTCGTGGTACTACAGATTCTGCTTCTCTTTGGTTCTGAGATCCTCACGTTGGAGATTGCAACCACAAGCACATCGACCACACCGCTTTCATCTTCTTCCTCCTCCTCTGTGTTGGAGAATGAATCAGTCGGTGAATCATCATGTGTTGTCTTCTTCTTCTCTCTGTTAGCTCTGTTTAGGTCAGTAATCTTTATCGGACTGCGAACCTGAAGACATGGAGGAGACCCTCCTTGACTCTTGTGCTTAGACTTGATACACATTGTCTTGAGTGTTCTGTCTGTGTAAAATAGTATCCATGGATGCCCTGAAACACACAAGTGAACCTATAATGGTAAGCATCAAGAAAAGGATATAGAGGTACAAAGAGATTAAAAGGCTTACTTAGCACTTCATCAGCTGTGATCCTAGCGGATTCGTCTCTTGTTAGCATTCTTGACAATAGATCACGAGCTGGTTTGGAGACTGACTCCCACACTCCTGAGTTGAAATCAAGCTTCACTTTCTTGATTGCTTCGAAGATAGCATCCAAAGAGTCTCCCTTAAAAGGGAGCACACCAGATAAGAGAGCGTATAAGAGTACTCCTGCACTCCACACGTCAACTTTCTCTGAATAACTTTCAGAAAGAACTTCAGGTGCTACATAAGCAGGACTTCCTGCCAATCCAGACAACGTTTGACCTATCCAAAAGCACCAAACAAGTTACATAAGTAAACCTTCACAACTCAATTAAGCAGCAAAGAGGAGATATTTGTTTTACCTTTTGCAATTCTCATGGCGAGGCCAAAATCAGCTAACTGAATCTTCCCAGCAGATGTTAAGAGAATATTCTCAGGTTTGATATCTCTATGCACAACACCCATCTCATGACAATAATTGATAACTAGCATAAGGTCCTTGAATATATTAGCCGCTCTTTGCTCAGAGTACCTCCCCTCCTTAACCATCTGATCAATCAAACGTCCACCAGAACACAGCTCCATCACAAGATGAAAACAATCCGCCTCTTCATAGACAGCATGCAATGTAACAACCCGAGGATGACCAGACAAATGCTGCATAATCTCAACCTCCCTATGAACAGTCTCCTCACCCTTCTTTAAAGTTTTACAAGCAAAGTCAATCCCATTACTCTTCGACCTACACATCCTAACCGACCCGAACTTCCCTTTCCCAATATTAGGACCAAACACATAATCATCATCAATCCTATTCTTCCTACCAGTCTGCGTAGAAACATCTATACACCCAATCTTCCTCTTCAAACCTCTCCCTGACGAAACCAGAGACGAAGCACCACAGGGAGGCGCAGTAGCGACGCCGGCGAGGCGTCTCTTGAAGGAACAACCAACAGAGTCAGTGTCATCATCATTCTCCTTGCAACGCTTCTTGAGTCTAGCGTAGCCTTCTAGCGAAAAGTGGGACCTGAAGTTGGATGATCGTGAAGCAGAGGCACATGTTAAATCCTCGGAGCCTTCAGCTTCACTACTTCCTTTCCGCTTCTTCCTCATCAAAACAGATTAACAAACCGAGATCTCACATCAGAGTCACTTACTTTACATAAAAGGATGAGTCTTTTTCTCCTATGGAAACAAGAATGAAACGAATTAGTGATAAAGCAATGGACTTTACAAGCTTCAATGACTTTAACAGCGAAATCACAAAACTTTCCTATCGAAACAGCTAAAAGCTACACTCAATTGAACTTTAAAGGTAATGAAATTTGGGAAGATAACGAACGAACCTCGAGAATCACCAAAAGAAGGTAACTTTTTTCGCCGATCAGAAAGGGTGATTGGGAGGACCCAATCGAGGCGAAATTGCAGGAGAATGAGAGAGGAGAAGACTGATAACGGAATCGAATTCCGAGGAATAAAAAAAAATGAGTTGAACGAAGATCGAAACCCTAAGAACAATGTAAACGAAAGCGATGTTTAGGGGAAAAAGAAGAAACTTTATTAAGCGTCCTGAATCTGGTGATGATGCAGCAGCAAATAAAAACGAGTTTGTGTGATTGATTTTATGTTTCTAGACCGGCGCAGATGTCGGTAGTCAGAAAACCGGTTTAGTGGTTTGCTATTGTGTTGATTGAACCATTAAGATCCAACTCAACATACACCTCTTCTACTAATCTCCTCGTAAAACTATTTATAGCTAGTATCTTATACTCTTTTCATTTACGATCGAACCAAAATGTAAATGAGGTCGACATTTCATTTTCCACCATTTTATTGACCAAAACCACAGCTTGAGACAGACACACACTTTACCCTCAACACACAGAGTCTACTGATCAGTGTTAAATGCGATTGTTGTTGGAGTCTAAAACTGATAATCCTAATTTAGAAACTAATCAAACAATAATAAGAGAGATCATGGTCAAAGATTTTGTTTATTGAATTTACAAGTCCAACCGAGATAAATAATATAAAAATAATTTTATTTTTAGCTGAAATTTTAGGGGCTGACAAAAAAAAAAAAAGCTGAAATTTTAGGTAATTTTCAGAAGAAATAGCAAAAAAAAATTGTATTTCTTTCTAGTTCGACTTGTAGACGAGACCATTGACCTTAATGCGTTTATTATTGTTTGATAAATCTCTAAACTTGAATTACCAGTTTTAGGTTTCAAATAGTTGTGTCATGCTTAAATTCAAGCTTCACGACTTACCACCAAAACAATGCAACTCATACAAAAGCAATTTGATCATATTCAAAGTGTAGATGCTATGTGCAATCCCATTAGCTTGCAGAGGTCTAACACAATACCATACTGTTTACAAACTACTGAAATCAACGAGACACAATCATTCTCTAACAAAAGGTTGATAACTATAACATGTAACCACATCTACAATAGCCTAAAGATCCTATAAAAAAAAACCCAGCTTTGACCTCTCACTAAACCTGACTCCCGTTGAAACATTAAAACCGGTTCAACCGGTCTTTACACGAGCTCGGGTATATAATTACAGAGTCTAGTGACAACCCGCCTTTGGTATGTGTACAATCGATCTGAGTCATCGAAAACTTGATCTTCGTCGATGAGCTTCTTGATTCCCTGACTACAAAATCTCCAGCGTGGTAGTGATTCCACCTTCCCCGCTCGGTCAACATGCATTGAGACGAGGAGTATTGACCATCTTCAGTCCAGAGCTGAAACCGAACCGGTTTAATGTCCCAACCATGTACTTGTTCTGTATTACAAACCCGTCGACCAAACCACTTGCCAGATTGACCTAGCTGCAGCCTGAAGAAGATACTGTAGGTTCCTGCTGGGAACGGGAAATCAATCTCACCGTCAACTTCAAACCACCAAGTTTGTTGAAGGTAAGCTACAGAAGCAAACCTGCAAGAAGAAGAATCAATAAAAAGGCTTTCTACTTTAAAATCGTAGAAATAAAGATCTTAGAAAAACTAACCGAGATTCATCTGTGGGAATATGACTCCAATATCGACGATCATCAATACCTGTGATTGATAAGCCTTTAGCTGAAATGCTTAGACAAACACCACCGCTTCTTTTATCTATCCATACCTTCTGCATAAAACCAATACAATTCGTTTCAAAATACACAAAAATTTTCCCCGCAAAAAACAGAGGAATACAGAGAGGAGAGACTAATAATACCTTGGTGCCTTGATCGAATGAGTTAACCCTGCAGAGACAAGCGTAAATATCTCTTTTCTGAAGATTTTCCGGGAACTCGCCAAGGATTCTCTCGAGAAAAGCCTCGTAATTCGGAGGAAGCTTCGATTCCCAGACGAAATCAGCCCATGAAGCGCCACGAAAAGCCCTGTTTAGATTTGACAATCTACAGATCTCGACGGGGTCCAAATTCTCAATGATCAGAGCCACACAATCTTCTGGCAAATCCCCTAAACAAGACGAAGACGACGAAGACAGATCCTTGTGAAGACCAGAGTGACTCGCACCCATCAAAACCCTTCCTTGTCTTGCACGAGATCAGAAAATATCAGAGGTGGGTTTTAAAGAGATTCTTGAATGGTCCTGAAAGTTGAAAGCTTTCGTCGTGGGGATTTGGGAAAATCAAACGTGTTTAGAGAAGAACAGAGCAATAGAATACAGAGGTTTGGTGAGGTGGTGATGACAGACAATGGTGGTGGTCTATATGATGTGCTTTTTTTAGGATATTGGATGGTGACGCAAAAAGGCATGTAGATCGTGTAATAATTAATTATCTTTTAAGATTCCGAAATATAATAAAATTAAATTAGTTTTTGAACCATACAATTAATTTTAAAATTTAAAGCTGTTGGGTTCTACGTTTAAGTTTTGTTTCATTTTGTCCGTTTTTCTTTGTTTTATTGTTTTTCTAATCCGTGCAATAATCCTACCATTCATGAGTTGTAAGAAGTCAGATAAACAAATTTAATAAAGGAATAAATGTACACATATATCTTTAGCAATTTTCTGTTATGATACGTGATCCAGGATGTCAACGACCATCTGTTATGAACATGTTAGATCGCGTAGTGGTTGTCATAACGCTTCTCCCATAAACACGATTGTTGTTGTGGATATATGTTTTCTCAATTAGTGATAAGATTATTTATTTGGTCATAAACACAGAAGGACAAAGAAAACTTCAAACCTTCATTTCTTTATATGATCATCAACATTACCTACTGATTTGGTTTAAGTCTATCTAATCTTCATGACTCTCGTGACAGAAAAAAAAAAGGAAATATCGAGTATGTTAAGATATTTTAACAGTTAACTGTTTTTAATTATTTAACACATATACAATGAGATATTTTAATGATCAAGTGTTTCACATTCATGCATATCAAAGACGAAAATATCTATTACATCATTGCTGTACGTACTATTTTAATGGATTATGACCTTGGATATTCATATTTGTCGACAAACAAAGTTAGATATTTATTTCCTCCAATCAAACTAATGCTCAACTAAAATTCACATTTATGTTCTCAATACCATGTGAAAAAGTTTTTGGCATGTAATTTGCTTATGTTTTATTTTATTCTTTTGTCGGCATTAACTTTTAGGCTTGTAGCCTTACGTATTTGAGGATCAGGCCGATTTAACGTTGTTAGAGCACATTTATCTCTGATGCTTACGGGTGTTTAAGAAGGGAGGGTCAACAAAAAACAAAAACTGAGTGTTTAAGTTGCTTCCATGAGCGTCGAATTTTCAGTGTTGCTTGGCATATTTTGCGGATCCATGACACATGGCGGTTCGTGACTAGTTTTTTTTTCTATTTCTTTTTGTTTTTAAATACAGAAAAAATAAAAAAAAAATAAATATCTCCTAGTGGAGTGTTGTGATAATCATGCTCTTAAGGGTGTAGGACATTTTTTGTTATCTTTTATGTTTATTTATGAAAACAAAACTATATACATATAAAATATTTCTGTACCTATTTAATTTCATTTTTAAAATTTTCTATATAAAAATATATATTTAAAAGAAAAAAAAACCTTTAAATTATTAAAATTTGGGATACATGGTTTTGGAACTGGGTCGCATCTTTTGTCCCCTTAATTAGCTGGCCCTGGTGACGATGAAAAATATTCATCGTTTTGGTTAGATAATGGATGTCGATGCAAAAGTCTCAAACTTCATTTCAACTTGACTATGACACATTGACATAGGACTGTGAAAACGACCAAGGATAATATCGAATAAATATCTAACTTAGCTACTGAAAGAAAAACAAGAAAATGCATAAACTTATGAATTGCTTAAAGAAAGGAGATGTTCAATTGGTTGGTTAGAGAAGAAAGGAGATGTACAAAAGATAAGGACATATTACCGGAGAAACATGAAGTATGCAGTTTACCAAAAAAAAAAAAACAAGAAGTATGCATGATAAATACTTTTTGAACTAAGTTTGTTTTTCTTTTTAATTATTCTGTTTGCATCTTGATCTTTTTTCATTGGCGAACACAAGTTATATAACTCTAAGTCTCTATTTACTTTTCCTTTTTAAAAAGTTAGTTTCACTAAAATATCGTGAAAATCACATCTCGCAATCAGACACCACGGCAAAATAATTTAAAATTAACAATAACTAAATAAAAAGTTTGAAAACAATTTCCGAAGGAGCCCGTAAAAGTTTGAAACGAAAACGGCCCATGCTTGTAAAACCAGCCCAATAATCTACGGTGCCTTTGTTCTTTTCTGGATCACCAGTAATGAAACGTTTTATGAACTTAAGAGTGCTATATTGATTGTTGTTGTTAGTTCAACTAACTCTAATAAAGTATACAACAAACAACAGCATTCAATATACAGTATAATATTTTTAAATTAATACTTTATAAGTTAATATACATTAAAATTTTCAATAAAATAATATAATTTTATAGTTTCAAATTGATCTGTTTTTTATTCAATTAATATATTAGTAAATTAATAAAAAATATCGTTTTGGTGTATTTATAGAAATTTCACTCTAAGTTGATTTACAACCTTTCACAATCTCCAGATCCACTATTTTCCATTTATCCTTTTTGTAAGATATTCTTATCTTTGAAGAACTTGTGAGCATTTCTCTTTCTAATAAAAGTTGATTGTCGTTGTGCAGCTACTGTCACTACTGTCCAGAAAGGTTTCAGAAATCCATAAATAATGTTTCTTCTAAATTAAACCGTTACAGAATCAGTATGTAGTTTTAGAAGACAGTAGTATAGAATATTGAGAATATATATATATAACATTATCTATTAATTTAATTATCATATTATTAGTGATGTTATCATCCATTAAATTTGGCTGGACCTTTTATGCTAAGTGCAAAATCACGTGGTTTTGAAGTATGTGTAAAACAAAAAGAAAGTGTAAAACAAATTAGCACTTTTGTAGTTATTGGCGAGAATTATATAAGAAAACGATGCCATGCAACTATATACGTATACGCAATCTATATAAAGTACATATTAAATAATGATATTCCTGTTTCCCTAGGCCCCCAATTTATGACAAAGTATTTTTAGTCATTTCTTACGGCATTGCCAATTATTTACTTCTCCCACAAATTTCTTCTCAAGTAGGTTAAATATATTGTTTCTTTTGCCTTCTTATGTAAACACTGATTGATGTCACAAGTGTTCTAGAATTATTAAGTTTCCAAAACGGGTGTTCTAGAATTATTTCACTAGTTAGATGATATATAGATGACCTTCTATGTAGATACCAACCATGTGTTTGTGGTCGGTGGTAACATGATGTTCCATGGATCCTATAAAACCTGAATTTAAATCCATTTATATTTAGATTATCAGAACATGTAGTTACTGGAGTTTTTATATTTTCTCTCCGAAGAATGGTTTACCATTTTTCTTACGTAGAAACTAACTAAATGTTGATTAGTTGATGTGATAAAGATGACCAACTCAATTTGTATATTATAACTTGAGCAAATCGAAAGTCTCCCCCCCCCCTCCTCTCCGTGTAATACAGTTTAAGAGTGAGATATCTAACTAGCTAATATTGACCTTATACTACTTTTCAATATTAGTTAATAACTAACTTATTTAGGTTTAATTAATATGCATCGTTCGTATATAATGATATATTTTTAATTGTATGGCTAACAAACTTTCTGATTAAACTATGGGAAGCCCGACAAGTCCACTAGACCACTCATCCTGACTGGTACATAACGTGGTTGATACAACAAACTATGAATTAGGAAAATTCATATTATGTGAGAAGGAAATTAAAAATTAGAAGTAGACCAATGGCTCGATATTTGACTCCTCCCCACGACTGTCGTTTTACTTTTGTGAAAGGTCAAACCCTATGCTCATGGGCAAACAAACACTTACGACCAAATTTGTCATTTATTTATTTTCTAACCTTAATGATTCTGTCAATTCAAACTAAGAAAACATATACTTTTGACCCTTTGAATTACTTCGTTGATTAATATAACCACCTTTAATCGTCGTTAAATATAATGTTTTTTGTCCAAGAAAGGGACCTTCTCCCTATTAGAATTTTACTTATTAAATCTTCTGTAAAACTAATAATAATGGCCATACGTTGTTTTTTCTTATAAATATTCATCGATACTCTTTTATTTTCCGTGCAGGGATGTCTTTGTTTTGTTACACTCCTAAGAAGATTAGTTGACTTTTGTCTGTGCAAAAAAACAAGAGTAATTAGTTAAAAATGTATTATGTCGAACTTTACTGGTTTATTTCAGTTTATAACTTGTTAACTTATATGCTCTTAATGCATCGATCATTTGATTTTTTGATTTCTTAATTTGTTCTTTCTAAGGGGCTGGCCACATGCGTACGTAACAGACAACTTGACGAACTTTCTCCACAATTCTCTCGAATCCTCGTGTTCGTGTTGTAAAGCTCCAACAAGCTTTAATTATAAGTCTTATTTCTTCTATAACCACAAGTAAAAAGTTCTCATTTCTTCTGAATCAATATAGCAGACAAATTTACAATGCTTATTCTGAAAATAAATATTTAGTGGCATCTACAAGGAATGAATATTAGGATACACTATATATTTCTAACTTGTAAACGTAAATTCATAACTGTATAAAGGGGAGTAAAAAAGTAAAATAAATTAAAATAGAAAAAAATACAAGAACGGTATGTTCACAGTTTGAAGATAGGTATCACGTGGCCAGCTTTTTTTTGTGTTAGAAACACAGTCAATAAGTTTATGCAACGTTCTTGAACAGAACATGTTCGGACCTAAGAGCACTTTAAGCAAATACACTCTCATCAGGGAACAGCTCCGTCCAATAATTAGTTTTTTTTCGATTCTTTATTCCAATTTAAACTCTAAAAATATGATTGCAGGTACTTTATAAACGCAACCATTTCAAATTTCATGCGACCAGGTTCGGATATTTAAACCATAATCAGAACAAGATGGCAAAACAGGCCTATTTAAATCAACTTGAGCCATTAGTGATAGCATAATATTGATTCTCTAGTGAAATATAAAAAAATCATAGAGATGAATATAAATACTCAAATGAAGATATTTCAAAGCTAATATCAGGTTTGATGAGTTTGTTACTAGTATTAAGTTAACAATAAAATAATAGCTAATTGAGTTGTCTCTATCTAAGTACATCCCCCTAACAATCACATCCCAAACCTCTTAATTAATTAAAGACTATTATTATACTTTCTAATACTTTTTTGATAAATTTCACTAAAACCCTAATGGGTTTTCTCCAGCCAACATGAAGCTTGCCTACTAATATCATATCACACAAACTGACAAGCCTGTATACACATATCAGTACACCGATCTAGCCCTAGTTAACACAATATAATGTTCGGTTTGTGTAAAACTGTTGCTTGAAGACAATTTCAAGTAAAACAATGAAATCATGTTAATCTCCTGTTTCTAACTCCCTTAAGCAGGTCTAAGCTCTTAGGATTTGTCTTAACTAATTACACTATGTATAGTAGTTTCTAGGTCTAAATTTTAAACTTGTCTTTTTGACCCATGATTACTAATGAAGAAATAACTTTTTGTCCCCAATTATGTAACATTCAATTGGTATTATCTTAATGAAATGACGGAAAGTTGAATAATAATGAGTGCATTTCAAGAAGACCTAGTTAGGTGTTTTTTTGTGGGTGGGAAGTATAATTGCATGGTTTGCTGCAAAAAACTTGGTCCCGTGGCTCAATGGGTAAAAGTAAAACTGTCATTGGTTTAACCTCATGGGTCCCAAAAGCCGACTAAGATTATAAAGCCAAAAAGATAATGATAATATGATTCATCTCTAAGGTTAGTTATGATCTGAACTTAGAATTAGCAGATGTAGTGGTTGATAACAGGATCTAAAAGCTGACATACGTTGTTTTGTAATAAGATTAATCCTGAGTTTGACGAGTTGAATTTTTTTAAAGTAATATGTAATGATAATGATTAAAAACACATGACAAGCAGATCTAATGAGGAGATTCTGAGCATGAATGAGAACATAACTGAAAAGTACTTGTCATGTTGGTGTATATTTGCTACCCTGGTGTCAAAAGATTGTATTAGATACAGGAATTTTGGCATAGATATGATATAAAATAAGAAGCAATTATGAACACAATATATAATGTAAATCTTAAACTCTTTTTTCCATGTCTAATAACTGTATGTGTATCAAGTTTCAAGTTACAATACCAATTTATTATTATTATTATAATTATTAGTTTATTATCAGGGTTACCAAAAAAAGAGTTTATTATCATATCTAATGGAGAGGAAGAGTCCACAAAACTGATCTCCTAAAATGAAGCTGTAAATTTGCCTAAGTGTTTTAATGCCCATATGATCACAATAAACTAGGAGGAAATAGGAACCTTCATTTCATGATCTCCTAATTTTATTTACGACATTTTTTTTTCCAAAAACGATGCCCTTTCACACGTACAGTATAATGAATCATGTATGGTTTCTATAAACATATTTAAAGTTTTCTAAATGGTATAACCCTTTTTTCATCAGTTCAAAAAAAATAACCCTTTTTTCATCCTGCAACTATTTTTTGAGAACATTATTTATTATTATCTAATGAGAGTTATGTGTAGAGACTTGCCTTGTCTATTTAAGCACTCATCACAATGGTTGACGAATATGCGCCAGCACTCAACTCCTCTTTCTTCTCTTTGTCTCTTTCCTCTACACGTTTGTAGTTTCTTTCTAAAGAACACAAACCCAAGAAGAAGTCAGAGACAAAAAAAATATAGTTTCATTTGGTGTTCAACCAAAGACAAATCATATATACTCATACTGTGATGTGGGCGTTGTTCATTTGGGTTTCTCTGCTTCTCATAAGCATCACACATTGGGTATACTGGAAAAATCCCAAATGCAGAGGGAAGCTTCCACCTGGCTCCATGGGTTTTCCTCTACTCGGAGAGACTATCCAGTTCTTCAAGCCAAACACAACTTCAGACATCCCTCCTTTTATCAAAGAAAGGGTTAAGAAGTGAGTGTCTCTCTTTTCTCATTCAAAACCAATGTGATTAATGCTGCACAAAGGTTTTTAAAAACTGTTGTTAATTTGTTCAGGTATGGTCCCATTTTCAAGACCAATCTAGTGGGGAGACCAGTTATTGTATCTACAGATCCTGATATGAGCTACTTTGTGTTTCAACAAGAGGGTCGGTGTTTCCAGAGTTGGTATCCAGACACATTTACAAACATCTTTGGGAGAAAGAATGTGGGTTCACTACATGGGTTTATGTACAAGTACCTTAAAAGCATGGTCTTGACTCTCTTTGGCTATGATGGTCTCAAGAAGATGCTTCCTCAAGTTGAGCTGACTGCAAATAATAGATTAGAGCTTTGGTCAAATCATGAATCAGTAGAACTCAAAGATTCAACCGCAAGTGTGAGTTTCAGACATAAGACTTCTTAATTGTTCTCTTATTGCTTTATTTTCTTACTGATAATATGTTGGTATCATCAACTTATCAGATGATATTTGATCTCACCGCGAAGAAGTTGATAAGCCATGATCCAGACAAGTCATCAGAAAATCTAAGGGCTAACTTCGTAGCTTTCATTCAAGGACTCATCTCATTCCCTTTTAACATTCCAGGCACAGCTTACCACAAATGTCTTAAGGTGAATGAATATCAATAGCCACCACTTTAAGCATTGCCTGCCTCTGATATGTTTTACTAATGCTGGAAAATGATCCTTGCAGGGTAGGGAAAATGCAATGAAAATGTTGAGGAACATGCTTCAGGAGAGGCGTAAGAAACCACGCAAGATTCCAAGTGACTTCTTTGATTATGTCATTGAAGAGATTCAGAAAGAGGGGACGATTCTGACAGAAGAGATAGCACTGGATCTAATGTTTGTATTGCTATTTGCCAGCTTTGAAACAACTTCTCTTGCTTTAACTTTAGCTATCAAGTTCCTTTCAGATGACCCTGAAGTTCTAAAGCGTTTAACGGTCAGTGAAGGGATACAAATCATATAGATAGAACTGACCAATATCTTCTGTTTTTTTTTTTTTTAATTTATCAAAAGTATTATCATGATTAGGAAGAACATGAGATGATTCTGAGAAACCGGGAAAATGTAGACTCTGGACTTACATGGGAAGAATACAAGTCAATGACTTACACATTTCAGGTTTGCTTAAGAGTTTAATTAAAGTAATGATTGATAGTTTCCTACGTTTTACTTAGCTGACTAAGTCTGATCTTGTGTAACTAAGCAGTTCATAAACGAAACAGCAAGATTAGCTAATATAGTTCCTGCAATCTTCAGAAAGGCGTTGATAGACATAAAATATAAAGGTATGATAGATAAACTATAACGATAATATACACATTTCTGAATGATTAATTTTCTTATATATATTACTTTAAGACATTTTATTCAATGATGCACATAGATTATACAATACCAGCAGGCTGGGCGGTGATGGTCTGTCCACCAGCTGTACATTTGAATCCAAAAAAGTACGAAGATCCCTTAGTCTTCAACCCATCAAGATGGGAGGTGAGGTCTAAAACTTTTTATTGAGTAACTTCTAGTCCAAGTTAAACTGAAACTTCTTTTTTAAACAAAACTAAATTTGTCATATACAGGAATCAAATGCTAACAACGCATCAAAGCACTTCATGGCGTTTGGTGGTGGAATGAGGTTCTGTGTTGGAACTGACTTCACTAAATTGCAAATGGCTGTGTTTCTTCACAGCCTGGTTACAAAATACAGGTTTGAAATAAAGCAAATCTTGTTGCAGTACTCTACTAAGTCATATGCTTATATATATATATAGTGTTAGGAAAATTAATAAGGCTGGTTTTTGGAGTTTTATTATCAGGTGGGAGGAGATTAAAGGAGGGAATATAGTTCGAACTCCAGGATTACAGTTTCCAAACGGTTACCATGTCAGACTCCACAGAAAAATACACTAAGAGAATGTTACAAAGTAAAAACGAAGCTGTTGTACATTTTGAACACCCAAAGTTAAACGGGGGAAGATGTACCTTGAGTCTCAATTAGACTAAGGATGAGAATCAGCTACAAGGTGAATACACAATTTTGATTTCAAGCTGTCATGTGTTTGGTCAGAAACTGTAATATGTATAGTGTTTATATATTTGATCACAGGCATGTAAAATTTTACTTTTGAACTCCTGACATGCATCAGGAGATTTTTCAATGAAAAATAAAGATCTTATTACTATATGAATTATCCTTAAACGTGGTTCCAATACATATATAAAAATGGTTCACATATAATTCAAACTATCAAAGAATCCCACTCAGTCAAATACTTAAAAAGAAAAACACAATTAAACTTTAGTTACAGTTAGAAAACAAAAGGAGCAACACAAAAAGGACAATAACACCTTTTCAAAAAAAAAAAAACAATAGTTATGTTTTGAAAATCAACAAGACCACTTGGAAGTCTCGATACAGTCCACGTGATGGCACCATGTGCAAAATTTGTTCCCATTCTCTCCTCTGAGCAGCATCACAATCCCAACCGCTAAACCTCCAACGACCAAAACAGCAGCGATAAAGAACAACAAGTACTGGCAAGGGTTATATTTTGATTTGGCACGAGGAGCACCGTACTGAGAAATAGAGTTGTGAGACTCTTCCCACCCGTACTGAGGCCTGACTAGTAGTACAAACCCGAGGAGAAATCCGGTTAAGAACCCACCAATGTGTGCAAAGTTGTCAACTCGAGGAAGCAGACCTATTGCTAAATCGATTGCCACAATGAACAAGATGGTGAACAAAGCAGCAAGCTGTAAAAAAAAAAAAAAGAAACGATGTTACTACATTCATGTCTGTTTCTTGAGAAAAAAGATTGGCATGTGCGTACCTTGTTGGCGTATATGGTCCAGTTGGTGAGAAGTTCGGATAACATAGCTCCAAGGAGTCCAAGGAGAGCGCCTGAGGCGCCAACAGAGATACTGTTTCGAAGGAAGAGTGCGGAGAGGATGCTACCACCCAATCCAGATATCAAGTAGATAAGCCCCACTCTTACTGCATATTGATCATTTGTTACAAGAGATATATGTTGAAAAACATGAGAATGAGCTTTGTGTAAGGACTTACTGAATCCAAACTGCTGCTCAAGGCGGAAACCGATGACGACCACATTGAACATATTAACAACAAGATGAATGACACCGGCATGGAGCCACATAGAACTGACTAGCCTCCATTTTTCATTACCTTTCACGACTTTGCTCCATTCCAATGCTCCCATCTTCTCCAATCTGAAACCCACAACGGCAAAGTTTAAACTTGAATTCTAATAGCAACCAGAGAAAACCAATGGCAAGTTTGAAATACACCACAGACATGAGTTCTTGTAAGGCAGAAACTGATCAAAAGCTTGAAACTTGGGGAAAAAGTTTGAGACTTTTGGAGTTAAAAAGGAGAAAAAAAAGACTTACGTTGAAGAAGTTGGGCCTAAGAGAGGGTTCTCGCTGAGTGGCTGGAACGAGAACCTACGGAGAAACCTTGGCACGCAATCTCCGTTGGCGCCAGCAACCGTCTTAGGGCAGTCGTTGACGAACATGACAACGATGAAGACGGCGATACAAGCCAAGACGATGACAGGAGTTAGCCATGCCGTCCACTGGGTGTTCCCTCTGTTCTTCCTACTCGCCATTGTCTCTCCTCTGTTCGTATCAAGAACCAAAAAAAAAACAGAGTTTTTTTTTAATCAATAGATCAAAGAGACAAATAGATTGAAACAGGAAACATTAAACCGACACGAACATCAATGATCAGAGATTCAGACAGAAGTCTTTAACCTTTAATTATCTTTGAATTTTGAAAAAAAAAGGAAATATACGTAACGGAACAATCAATTTCCCAAGAGTATACTCACAACGTAATTATCTGTAAGAGCAATAACGTCAAGAGTTTTTGGTGATGGCAATGCCGTTTTTTTTTAACCTTTTTTCTGATCAAAATCTCAGGCCTGAGGGGAAACAAATCAGACGTGAAATCAAATTGGTAGTGTTAAATATATATTGATTAGTTTTTTTTTTCCTTTTAAAAACGTATTTCAGTTAACCTCATAGTTTGTTAGGGTATAGTATAAAAATACGTGAGAGAGAAAGAGAAAAAGTCTACGGGCAAGGTGTCATTAAGGCAAAATATTAATAACTTTATCACTAAAACAGACTCTATTATAATGTGCCTCCCACTATACATTTTTATAATAACTGATTATGATTAAACCAAGTCCGGTTAACCACACCAAACAACTACGGTTTGATATAGAACATGAATTTCATACACCATTGATATGTAATAATAAAGTTTTAAAAAAAAAAAAAAAAACCAATCCGTACATTATTATCCAATAATAAAAAAACTAATACCCGCGTATACACTACTTGTCCGGTGGTTGACAATTGACTAAATGGACCACATGAAAACTGTTTAATGATTTGTAAATATCAAAAATATCAGAATATTCAAACGATTCGTCAAAAGAGATTTTTCTGTTAATCTCTTCTTTAATCCATCTTCATCATTGCCCCCTCTCTCTCTCTCTCTCTCTCTCTATCTCTAGCACGATCGAAACAAACCCTAGAAATCCCAATTCCCCTTTCCCTCACATCAAAATCTCACCTTTTTATGACGTAACCCTCCACCAATTCCATCGATTTAGTTTTCAATGTCAACGGAGAATTCACCATCGCACGCCATCGATCCAGCGCCTCTGCTTTCGAGCGGAGATGAAAACGAGGGAAGCAACAGAACCCGAGAGAGGAGATCGGTGAGGAGACCAGGTTTAAGGGAAGCCGCGAGGCTACTAAGCCGCGCGAGTAGCAGTAGCAGCGGAGGACGCGCGATGCGGGAGCCGTCTATGGTCGTGAGGGAAGCTGCGGCGGAGCAGTTGGAGGAGAGGCAGAGCGATTGGGCCTACTCGAAGCCCATCGTGGTGCTCGACATCGTGTGGAACTTGGCGTTTGTGTCTGTGGCGGGTGCGGTTCTTGTGATGGCGAGGAATGAGAATCCGATTATGCCGCTTAGGGTTTGGCTTTTGGGGTATGCGTTGCAGTGTGTGTTGCATATGGTTTGTGTTTTGGTTGAGTTTCAGAGGAGGAGTAGGGTGAGGAGTAATAATAGGAGTCCAAGGTCACGTTCTTCTTCTTCGTCTTCGTCGGCTTCTTCTTTGGAGGAAGATGCTTTGGGTTCGAGGAGGAATTCGGATGAGGAGGTGTTGTCTCTCGGGCAGATTGAGAACGAACGCAGCAGGTATGTGGCTAGACTTGTGTAAAGCTTTTGGCTTGGTAGCACTTAGAAGAGATAAGAGTTTTTGGTTTGGATTATGATCAAATTGTAGTGTTTTCTTAGCTAAAGTGTCTATCTTTATGCATTTTACAATCTAATTGAGATTAAATGTTACTATCCATCATTTTCTGTTAGGTATTAGATAGTTACAGTAGGTTCACTACTTTCTTATAACACTAAGATTCAGCATGTCTCCATGCTACAAGCTTTCTGTATGTTACACATCAAAAGAGAGTAGTAAGTTCCATGTTTTGAGTTGTTTTATTAACTCACTTATTGTTTACAAAGCAGTGTTGCAAAGCATCTGGAGTCTGCCAACACAATGTTTTCGTTTATTTGGTGGATCATTGGGTTCTACTGGGTATCTGCTGGTGGCCAAGAACTGGCACAAGAATCCCCACGGATTTACTGGTTTGTTTGTTTCTTCCATTCTTTAGTATTCATAAGTGTTAGTCTTCTTATCATTCTGCGTCGAGTGTCTAAATACCTTGCTTGTGTTTCAGGTTGTCTATCGTCTTTCTTGGTTTCGATGTGTTCTTCGTTGTCTTCTGTGTTGCGTTGGCCTGTGTTATTGGTATTGCTGTTTGCTGTTGCCTGCCATGTATCATTGCAGTTTTATACGCTGTTGCGGATCAGGTACTTCTCGTAGCCAATTCATCTTATATCCTTAAGTCGCTACGTTTTGCTATTTGTTTTAACAATGAGAAACAGGAAGGGGCTTCAAAAGAAGACATTGAGCAGCTTACCAAATTCAAATTTCGTAAAGTTGGTGATGTCAACAAACACGCTGGTGATGAAGCCCAAGGAAACACCGAGGGGATAATGACAGAGTGTGGTACAGATTCACCCATTGAACATACTCTTCTGCAGGAGGATGCAGTAAGCATAATACACTCTATAACACACAATTAATTCTTCTCATCTTAAATTTCAAACACTAGATATGTTGTACTGTCTGATTCTTGTGATGATGCCATTTGTAGGAATGTTGCATCTGTCTGTGTGCATATGAAGACGGAAGCGAACTAAGGGAACTTCCTTGTGGACACCATTTCCACTGCTCATGCGTAGACAAATGGCTATACATAAACGCGACTTGCCCACTCTGCAAATACGACATCCTCAAGAGTAGCAACTTGGATCGTGAGGAAGCCTAGAGGAGACAGCTTTTTGCTTATTCATGACCCCGCCACAACATTTGATCAGGAAACTTACTTGGGGTCCAAAGGAAAAAAAACACGTCCGGTGTTTTTTTTATATATGATGCATTGTTTGTTATATGATATCTATACAAATTATTATATTTTGTATTTGTGTTTTGGATTGGAAAAGAATCAGGTTTGTACATGTATATCTATCTATCTTCTTTCATTTGCAACCAATTACCTCTGTGTTGACCTAGAATTGTTAGAGATTATTCATCATCATATTGACTTTTCATTATCTCGAGATTTTGATCTTCGGGTTTATAAATTTTTCGAGGCTCAAATAACAGTCTTGGGATTTGAAGAAAAACGGGCTGAAATGATATGTATAAAGCTATTTATTCATTGAAATAGGAGACTGGTGCGAACACTATATGATGTGTATAACAACACACTTCTCTTCCATATTGAGTGATTAGATAGTGGACACTCAAAGCATCTTCTGATAGCCCCATGGATTGTTGTTTGCCTAGTTCCACTGATCTCTGCACATCTCATCAACTCCGTATTTTGCCCTAGTAATAATTTATACCAGTATGAATTTCATTTAAAGTCTAAAGCCAATCGTTAATGGTGAAAGAGTTGGAACTTACTTCCAGCCAAGTTCTTTCTTAGCTCTCTCTCTTGAATAGGTTCCTTAGCGCAGCGATATGGCCATCAGCCAAGTCCATCACATGGATAATCTCTTACCTGTTTCAGACATCCTTTTTAACTTCACTAAAATGAAAATCCATTACTTTTTTTTTATTTATGTAATGTTGAATATGGGTTCATGTATGTTATATGCATCTATTATGTATCCAGTAAATGCATGTTATAAAGAAAGGTCTGACTAGTACAGAAAATATGTTTTTTTACTTGCTGACGACAGAGAAAGAAACCAGTTAATAACCAAGTTGAATTAGTTATACAAAATGAAATCTAATTGTGGAAAATTTCGACCAGAAGTAGAAGTAGACAATAGATTCAGATGTTTCATGTGGATTTTACGTATTTTAAGGATCTAGTTAACCATTTCTCCTTTTTAATACATTACTCACCTTTTTCGAAGCAGTTAAAACAGTCTGTCAATATGCAGCAACTGATCAACGGTCAAGAAAAACAAAACTTTAATTCTTTTAAGAACAAATATTGTATTTATTGTCTATCAATTTCCCAAAAAAAATCCCAAGAATTTATGGTACTATGACTATATGCAGTGATGGTGTTGAAATAATTATTCAACTATTGATTCAAGTGCAGTGAGAGTGTTGAAAAACAATAAAAAATGACGTGTTTTAATTTGTGTTAGATTCTATTCAACTAGTTGAAACAACAGAAAGTGGGGAGCATGGGCAAGTTTTAACCATTCATACAGAATCCGTGTTCGAAAATATGGGTACTTAGCCGCTTAGACGTCTGATTAATCGGTGTTCAAAGCCCATTATCGGCGAACAAAAGCGGAAACCAACTAATCGGATGCGCGTAACATTGGTTCGGATAAACAGCCCATTAAACCAATTATTGTCATTAAACAGTGAGTATTTTTTTGTTTGTATGCATTTTGTCCTATCGATTCAGCCCACAATCTCTATAACTACACCAACATAAGGAAGGGGGTAAACGTACTATTTCCCCCACGAAATTATTATATAATCTAAAATATCCATCGAACTATCACTTCGTGCTATACCTCCGCGAATTATAAGTTATAAATTTATTTCTCCATGAATCTATAGTTCGAAATCTATTTCTCCCTGAATTAATAGTTTGGAACTTAATTACACATAAACAATGGTTTAACCGGTTTATTGTTAACCAAACATTTTTAAAACCAAACAAAAATTTTAATTTTATCAAAAAAAAAACTTTCAAAATCTCTCAAATATGAAGTTTGCAAAGTTTCTTTGATGATACTGATAGTGTGGAGTATGAATAGTATATGAGCATTACTTTTTTTGGATAACAGTTGGATTATTGACTTATTTAATTGGTTTAAGTTATATAGTTAATAATAAACCAATGAAAATTATAGTATATGCGTAATTAAGTTTTGAACTATCGATTCAGGAGAGAAATAAGTTTGTAACTTTCGATTCAGGGAGATGTGGTACAAAGTCATAGTTCGGTGGATATCTGATGTTATATAATAGTTCTCATAGGGAAATAGATCGTTAACCCTAAGGAAGACCATACACTCGGATTAGTTCCTGCAAGTAGCTAACCGACAATACACTGACCATTACTCGACCGTCAAAGATATTGAGGAGTGTTTCTTACATCCATCCAGTTGCTTGGGTAACAAACTAGAGTGGGTTGTTGTATACCATGAGTACGTTCTACAAGAAAGTTCATGAGAACTGTGACAGAAATTAGGCGTGAATGGTAAGTGTTCTTATTTAGCATCTTAGAGGATTTTTTGTTTTGAATACAGTGTGATACTGTGAAGGATGAATTTGCTTTGCAGGCTTGCTGAAGTTGCTCCTCGCTTTTATCAGTGTGAGATCAGATCACCTCTTCTTTTGGACGTTTTAGCCAAACCTCTCGGAAAATGATAAAGGTGATGACGGAAGGTGCTAGGGATGCGACTGAGAGCTTAGGCAGGGGGGGGGGGAAGAAAGGTCACCGCCATATATTCTTCAAGGTTCTACACAGCCTCGGAACCAGAGAGTGCTCTCTTGTGAAAACAAGCCAGAGGAGCGTACCTAAAGAGCATTTGGAGTAATCCCGAATAGTTATGTTTTGATTTTTGACTTTTTGGATAGGATGGAAACAAACAATTATAGCTCAAGACTAAAGACTTAAAGGTACATATAACATGGCTTTTTATGCCTTGGGAATCAAATTTAGCTTTTTCCTCATTACAATTTAAATGGTGAAAAAGTAAAAAAGATGAGAATTCTATAAACAATTTTGGTTACATGTTTCACTTTTGTTACATAAAGTAAAAGCTTTCATTTGTTCCCATAACCATTACATATATAGCTATAATCACCCCCCCCCCCAATACATTTATCATATGTACAATGTTGTGTATATGTAGTTGAGCATGCAGAGAAACACACATATCAAAGCGTAATTGCATTTAATGGTGTCTCCAATGTTGACAAAGATTTTTCTTTAGGCCATGTTTAAAGGCAGCACACTTGCTGTGTGCTTGGGCCTAAAATAATGCATTTTTATACAAAAGTGTTCCAAGATCACTAAAACAGGTCTTAATTTAGATCAGTGCTTGGGCTCTGTTCTAAGCGACGTGGCGCGTTGTTATTGGCCGAAAAATCAAAACTCTGGAGCTGAAGATCAGACGACGAGATCAATGCGATGAGAGGTTTCACGGCTCCGGCTCTAGCGATTTTATTCCGATTCTCGGGTTTGTTCTTGGACAAGAGGCGGATCTCCATGGCGGCTTGCTTCTGCTCGTCGACGGAGCAGGAGGAGTCGAGGTGGGCGACGAGGTGGCGGATGAGGTCGTCGGAGTTATCGGAGGCGCATGAGAGGAGGAGGCGGCGGCTCTCGGAGGAAGCGGAGGTGAACTCGCCGGATCTGTCGGAGTTGCANCGGAGTTATCGGAGGCGCATGAGAGGAGGAGGCGGCGGCTCTCGGAGGAAGCGGAGGTGAACTCGCCGGATCTGTCGGAGTTGCAGTCGCTGAAGGCGGAGGAGTGGTCGTTCACGGTTAAGTTGCTGAAATTGCGGCCGAGGTAGGTGAAACCGGTGCTGTTATCCGACTCCATGGATGCAGGGGAGGAGAGAGAGAGTAGAGAGAGAGATCGAATCTGTGATTCGTATTCAAAGCCGATGATATGTTTTTGTTTAAGCACATTCTTAAACAAAATGATCTCCCTTTGACTATTTCTCATGTTTTTAGACAAAATATAATACTTTACTAATATTTTAATCCTAAGCACACACTTTAGTGTTCTCCCTTTGAACATGCCCTTAGTGTTTCTGCTTTTTTCTGAAAATCATCCTTTGACATTTGGAACCTGGTGCTTATAGGTTCTGTCAATTCGAAAGTACATAACAATTCAAGTCTAGAACAGTCTTGGGATTTGAAGGAAAGCGAACTGAAATGATATGTAAAAAAAAGCTATTTATTCAATGAAGTAGGAGAATGGTTCGATACATGGAAAATGAAGCAAACACTATATGATGTCTATAAACACTTTTCTTCTATATTGAGCGATTAGACATGGTAGATAAGAAAAACAGGGAGAGAGTATACACTCAAAGCTTCTTCTGGTAGCCCCATGGATTGTTGTTTGCCCACTTCCACTGATCTCTGCACATCTCATCAACTCCGTATTTTGCCCTAGTAATAATTTAAACCAATCAAAATTTCACTTACTAACCATTTAACCCCAAAAGTCCAAAACCAATCGTTAATGGTGAAAGAGTTGGAACTTACTTCCAGCCAAGTTCTTTCTCAGCTCTCTCTGTTGAAGCATAAACTGCAGTTGCATCTCCTGCTCTTCTTGGACAGAGCTTGATAGGTATTTTCTGCAACAAATGTGTTCACATGTCAACTATGTTTATAACCAACACATTCCAAAAATATTTCACACGCTATGTTGTCTACCTTGCCGGAAGCTTTTTCAAAAGCTGCAACCATTTCTAAGACAGACGTTCCTCGTCCAGTCCCTAGATTGTAAGCAGTACACCCTAGTATTTACAACAACACTGTCTATGAGAAGAGTCCACCACACCAAAACAAAACAAAACAAAGTTTGATTTTCTGAGATAAGAGTTACCAATCTTGGGATCAGCAAATAGTTTCCTTAGCGCAGCGATATGTCCATCCGCCAAGTCCATCACATGGATGTAGTCTCTAACCTGTTTCAAACATAATTTTTCTAAATTACTAAAACGATAATCTACTGGTTTTATAATTATAAATAGCTGTCCAGAACTAGCTTTTTCGTCAAGTAAGTGAGGGATTTCAAGATCTGATAAGGACTTACCGCACTGCCATCCTCCGTAGGATAGTCATGTCCATAGACATTGAGCTCAGGTAGACGTCCCACAGCAACTTGTTGGATATAAGGCATGAGGTTATTGGGGATTCCCTTTGGATCCTCACCAATTCTCCCACTCTCATGCGCTCCCACAGGATTGAAGTACCTCAGCAGAATAATCCTCCATTCTGGTTCCGCTGCGTGGATATCTCTAGCTATTTCTTCAAGAAACAGCTGCATAAGAGAAAGATTGTGAACGCAGCTTAGCAAACAGTGCACTGTTATCTTTGTTAGGCTAAGTAAAAGTTTTTTTTTGGATCATGCCAAAAAAAATTTACCTTAGTACGACCATAAGGATTCATTGCTTTCAATTCAAAGTCTTCCACGCATGGAATTTTCTCAGGTTGTCCATAAACAGTTGCAGATGATGAAAACACCATCTGTATACTCCAACAACGCACCGATTATAAAACTGAACAAGGAAGTAAAAGATGAAAACACTTGTGAAGTTGCAGAATCCTGTCTAACCATTTTGCAGTTGTACTTTGCCATGGTCTCATATAGATTGATTGTTCCAACCAAGTTATTATCAAAGTAACGACGAGGGTTGCCAACACTTTCACCCACAGCTTTAAGACCCGCAAAATGGATCACAGCATCGAATCTGTTACCTCAGAAGAAAACGAAATCAAGCCAAGTGGCATAGCATCCAGAAAAGTGATCAACTATACAATTCACCTAAAACTATTTGCAAATTTTAAAGGTAAGAAGAATCTAACAATAACATACCTCTGCTTGGAAAATAGTTTCTCAATATCCCCTTTGTTTCTTAGATCACCCTGCAATCAGTTAGCACCGAAATTTTAACCACAAACTATGTTATAATAGCAAACAACTACAAGTCTACAGGTCAAACAGAGAAAAATGAAATAAATTCAGATTCTTTGCTTGAACTACAATAAAAAGAACTGAATTCTCTGTTTCAACTGAGCGCTAAACAAAGCCAACACACGCGGAGGCTCGTCAAACCAAGCAAGCAAGTAGAAGTACAAGTTCACTACTGCAAATCAAAGCAAGAGAAGAAATACTTACCAGATTAAACTCGAGCTTCTTGGAGAGATCAGGACCAACGAGCTCTCTTACCCTATCGACGGCTTCGATAACAGAATTATCAAGATTATCGATGATCGAAACCTTAAACCCCTCTTTCAGAAGTTGAACAACAGTATGTGTCCCGATGAATCCAGCACCACCAGTAACAAGAATGTTCTGCTCCACGGAAGAACCCATTTCCACGAACTCGACAAGTTATCAGAGCAAGATCTAAACTTTGTACACTTATTAAACTATCCCTTTTGGATAAAAGAAAAGCAGAAGAGCGAGAGAGAAAGATAACAGCGAACAGAGAAGATGAATGAGACTGAGAGATAAGACACAAGAAAGTTGGGTCCTTATTTAATGAAGTTTTGTAGCTTTCTTTAACAAGTTGATAAGAACGCACGCAAAGCAAAGATAATAGGAAAGAAGTGGGCGCAAAGATGTTTTTGTTGGTTTCTATACAAAAGCGGCAGTGATGATAAAATGACAACGATGGGTGATCCACGTTGAGAGATATGATGATGCCTTTGATTCCTCATTTTTCATACGATGTATCGATCGTGAACTTTGTCTTTTTGTTGCAGTTTAATATTAATAATCTATTTTTGTAAATGTGAAACCTAGTGATGACCAAATCCACGGGACAATTTTAGGATTTGATCTTCTACGCGTTATTGATTTCTTTTTCCGGTATATCTCTGAAGTTTTAAAGTAATCTTGCTGTCATTCACTAAGCATCATTTTCTATTACTGACATGGCATGACGCTACAAGTTGGATAATGACATTGACGGTGACCAATCAACATCTCTTGTACTGTTTGTCTAACCGACATTATCTTAATAGATCTATGCTAACTTTTCGATAAAAGTTGATGAACCGAGTGAACAAGTGAATCATCTAACATACCCGGTAGTGGCTTCTGCAGATGTAGATGTAAGTATTGTAATTCAGCAGAGAACTACAAACAGTCCTTGTGTGGTACCTCCAGAAACTGTTACGGCCAAGAACAATATGGTCAAGTTCTAAGACGTTATGAAGTTTAATTTTGCAGCCAAGACTTGTGATCTTACAATTGTTTTCGCAGTCATCAGTTGAATTTGGGACTGAGGTAGAACTCGGGATCTTGGAAAAACTTGGTGAGCATCTCAGCCTTGTCGGAAGAGAGATCCGTGTTTGCAAATATGTCTTCTTTAGATGTCTTAGCGGTTGCTTCTATTGAACCAATAGTTAGGTATAGCTGTAACCAAAGATGGCATACGTAAGATGGAGTAAGAGTTTGAAGTAAGAATCAAAAGGGAAGTTCTATAGTTTGATCAGTTCAAAGTAAGACATTACCGAGTTTGCATCATGTTTGTTGATGTTGGGTATGGATGTGAGAACTCTGATGAACGTGTCTGTGTCCTGGACAGTTCGCTTTCTCTTCACATGACAGGGAAAAAAAGAGAGAGGAAGCTTTAGAGGTCGTCAAAACAAATACTGACAAAGATTCTTTATAACGATGGGTCTTTGAAGACAACTACCTCAACCTTGAGCTTAGACGCCACCTTCTGTTGCTTGCAAACTGCAGCTCAAGTTTCAGTCAAAATACTCAGAAAAGCGGTAGAGTATATCTAATACACACTAAACAAAAAAGTCTTACTTACTTACCCCCACGAGAGTGAGCAATCTTAACAATCTTCTCAAATCCCATCTCAGCATCAGTGACTGGTACAAACGCAGGTCTCCCAAACTCCATCTCATAACTAATTGAAAAGAATCATCGAGCTTCATTTTCGGAAAGACAAATATAAGCAAAAGTAATATAAGATGTGTAGGCTACTCACTGGAAGTAAGACCGCATGAAAGAATCATTCTGTTCTTTAGTTGAAAGTGTGGCAACAACGTAAAGTCGCGCAAATTGCGTTTTCAGCTTCTTGACTCTGCAGCAAAGGTTAAGAAGTCAAAGAAATCAGAAAAAAAGAAGAGACCAGAGTTGAAAGTAATCTAATGGAGAGATGAGGACCTGTTGAAGAAGGAGCCAACATTGCAACAATCATCCCACTTTGTCACAAAAACAAAAGCAATAGACACGCCTCCACAATTAAAGATGAGATCCTACCACAACAAAAAAAAAACAAGTGATTCTTAGCTACCGTGGATTGAATCTGTCCCCAAAGCAGAGGGAAGGGAAGGGGTAAGGGGTAGATACAGGGGAGATGGAGACAAAGTTAAGCCTGAAAGAGTTTGAGCTGAGAAAGGCGGATATAAAACTGATCAGAGAAGGGTCTTGCTCATCTTTCCATGCATTGCTCATTATACAAACACCAGCAACATTCCCTGACATACAGCAGAAAACATCAACTTCTACATTTTACTAATTTCTTGTAAAACTTGACTTAGTTTAACTGCAAAATTATATGCCAATTCTAGTGTATAATACTCTAAAAAATTACATAAATCCGCATCCTGGAGCATAGTCTATGGTTATACTACTCTACGAAATTACATAAAATCCGCATGCATTCTGGTATATACTCTAAAATTCACAGTGTGTCTGAGCTAGAAAACCTAAATCTAACCAGTAACTAGGACATTAAGCACAGAGAGTACACTCATACGGAATCCCATCAAGCTTAGCCCTAATCTATCCTTCTTACTTACTCTGCAAAATCTCCTTCCCAGGAGCCACATCTGCCTCACTCAGCCGCGGCTCAATATTCTGATTATCAAAGTTGGTCATATCCACCACCAGATCCTTCTTAATCGCAAACAAGGGAGTGATCGTCGTCTCCTTGGCTTCCTCTTCGATCTTCGTCAAACACGCGAGGCCGTTGCTTCCGTCCATGTTCATCGCAGACGGATCCATCTCCTTTTTTATTTTCGATTAGACACGTGGCTTTATCTCATTGGATAAATTTAAAAGCGGAGCACGGGAAATAGATTTGCGTTCCGTTTTGTTGCAAAAGAGAAACACTACATGTAGTTTTTTTTTTTTATATAAATCCTTTTCAGGCCAAAAGTGCAATTGCCTCATAAAACTACTATGAGGAGACATTCGTAAGTGAATTTTTTTAGTGATTTTTCTTGATCTTGAATTATAATATCATATGATGTGGTTTATAAAAGAAAAAAAAAAAGAAACATCCCCTATATATTAATTGAGAATCATTTAAAAAATTGTAACTTTAAGTTTGTAAGAATTAAAAATAACTCTAATCCTATGTGACATATCTCTTTGGCTTCTATTTCAAAATCCAAGGATTTTAGAGCATGTGATATAATGTATAGTCTAAAAATTGAACTCTCTAGCAATATAATATTTCGTAGGCTATAGTTGGTCGCATATATCAAATATTTATTGTTTCGCATGCTTTCCTTAAATAAAACCTACGAAATTACCTAATATGATTAAAATATATATATGACAATTAATGATTTAAAACAATAAAGATTTGATAACAATCTGTATACTATTTCTCATTTTGTTAATCTCTTTATTATTAAAATAAATTACACAATTACATTAATCATATAATAAAAATCTAGATTTTTTTTGTGTATGTTGTATTTCGAATTTTTCAAAATGAGTATAAATTACTAAAACTGTGAAAAGTCTTACATAAACTTTTAGGATCAAGGTTTTAATTTTTTTTCTATATTATATAATGATTATAAGACCATATAAAAAATAATTTTATTTTATATATATTTCTTATCGTTTCAATTAAACTATGCATCGTATGAAAATACATACTTATATTTTGATATTTGACTTGAACATATATTGAAAAGTTCATATTTTAATTTTGAAATATGTCATTTTAAAAAAAATGATTATAAATTATTGAAACTACTAAACATCTCACATTAAAAAAATTCGTTGGTGTAAAGTTTTGTTACACAAATATGCAAATAATCATAAAATCATATGAGTAGAAACCTCATTTAGTAAATATTTATATTAAAACTGTGCTATATTACTATGTTTATATCATTCAAATTTAATTATATATCATATTTAATATATAAGATTGATTATTTTGATTTATTTACCCTAATTGCGAATAAACAAGAGTGATAGTTAAATTTATATGCATACGCTAATTTATTACATAATATTAATTGATTTCTTAATTATTTAATATAAATATTTATTATTTTATTATTTTATAATATGCAGAAAAATATAAAATAATTATTGTGCATAAAGTTCAGATCTTAACTTAAGTATGTATCTCTTTAACTATTTTAAATCTTAAGTATTTTCTAAATTTCAGGTTAAAATAAACAAACGAAATGAGAATAAACTTCAAAATAAATATTTATATCGAGTAATAACCAAAATATAAAAAAACACAACAAGAGAAAAAATTGAGATAAATATGATTGACACGTTAACGTAAACTTCTCATAACCATAATTAATTTTTAAATTGTTAAATCATGATATAAAACTGAGTTAATTTTTAATTTGTTAATTTTTAAATTCTTTAATTTTTTGAATCATTATGGTTATGTTAAATCATGACCATAATTGATTTTAAATTGTTTATTTGTATTTCAAAAACTTATAATATTGTTTTTAAAAATAAATTAAAATTTAACTGAATTTTATATAAAATTATTTAAAAAATAATAATTCATGGAAATATAATTTTCTTATATTACTAGACAAATAAATAAATTATATTAAATTAGTTTTGAAACTTTATATATTTTAAATGTAAATATTTTACCGACTGCTTTTTTAAAAAAACATTAGGGAACTTGCTAATGCTCTACCAATCAAGCCAAATGACACTCAGTTTATTTTCCATCACTCGAATACTGAAAAGTGAAACGATATATGAAATCGGGTACATTAAATTCTAAGATTCCATCTACAGTTCTAATTACAATTGTTTCTAATTCTACGTATAGATAATTATATAAAAATTCCAAAACTCTCAAATTTCAAATACATATAAAAACAATCATATGTAAATTTTAAATTTGTCAATACTAAAATTTTATATTTTAATTACATATATTCATCATGCACAAGGCACAAGTCTTATCCTAGTCATATATTGTAAGACAAAGTTTTGAAAAAAAAAAGCATGGTTAAATGATATTGAAGCAACCAGTCATTCGGTGAGACATGAGACATTTGGACGGATGGTAAAAAAAAAAAATTTGAAACAACTTCAGAATATAGAAATTAGGTCAATGACAATAATAAATACAAAAAATTAACCATAACAAAAAAAAAAAGTATTTATGTAATCATTGTCATTTTACATTTCATCACTTTTCCTTCTCATCTTATCAATTTATCTTGTTAACCATGTTCTCGATCTCAATATCATATGATTCTAAATCATGCGTTGTTTTGTGTATTAATGGGTGGTTTCACTCATTCTGCATTTCTAATCAGATCGTTCTTGATTAGAAAACTATGATATGCTTCCTTTCGTTTTGTGATTTTGGTTTTGTTTTATTAATAGTTTTGTTTTCTTTAATTTACGATTTAAATTTATTAATTTTCTTTCTCATGGCTATTTCGTGTTGAGAATTTTTCTTTCTTTCAAACATTTTGTTGTATGTCAAAAATTGTGTAGTTTATTTTGTGGTCTTTCTCACAACAATCCATAAAGCAGCACACAAACTTCTACATTACGCCAATTCTGGTGTATACTCTACAAAATTACACATTCTCGTGTATAATCTGTGGTGTATATTCTACAATTCTCGTGTCTCTGAGCTATAGAATTGAGTAACATCAACGTCTACGTTACTAATTTCATGTAAAACTTTGCTTAGCTTACAAAGGTATGTCCAACTCTGGTGTATATTTTACAAATTACATAAAAGTGAATATAAACATAAGAAATGTATCTCATCGGAGCTATGAAATCGAAATCTAACTGCATTTGGCTGCTTGAGTAACATGAAATTGAGTAGATCCTAGATCCCCGAAGTAAAGTTGATTCGTGAGCGTACATAGAAGGCGAGGTATCGTAACACTAGACTCTGACGACGGAGTAGAGCAGAGATGAATACCTAAGTCCGCGAGAGGTGGCGTCGCCATCGTCGAATCTTGGAGAATTTTGAAGACGAAAGAAAATTTGGCGGATGATGAAAAAAAGGAAACCAAGTTTAGAATATAGCGCCGCTTTATCTAGTTTGGTGATAATAATAAATCTACTGAAACTTTTTTTTTTCAATTAACTGGGTCACAACAGGCCAGCCCAGATGGCCCACTAACCTTTATCGTCAAAGGTGCGGATTCGTATCACAGATGCCTAAAAGATTTGACATGGTATGCAGACCATTAATTTGTCCTAGGAGCTCCCATCACTCATTTACTGAATAAAGTATTTTGTTATATTCTTTTGAATAATTTTTGAGTGATTTAGTGTAATACTCAAAATCAAAGGTCTATTTTGAAGTTTGTCCATTGATGAACATTAATGGTCAAAATTATATAATTATGCTTGGAAATGTCCAAAATACCCTTCTTTATCTGAAAGACTTTCTACTGGGAAACAGAGAAGTGTCAGGAGAGAGAGACATATTGTCCACAAAAGTTGGTTAACATGTCACAAATGTTAACTTTATGAACTATATGTTAAGATACTTATTTGATATCAAGCTCAGTGTTATTTGTAATGCGTTAACGTAGGTTTTAGTGGTAATTTTAACACATATAATAAAAATAGATATAATTTTTTTTAACCAGAACGACACTAGAAAACATACAAATGAAAAAAAATTAGAAAACAGATGAGATAAAATTAGAGAAAACAAAAAATGAAACATATAGAAGATTTAAAAAGAAAATGAAGGAAAAAAAGATGATTAAATGAGGAGACGAATGAGAGAGTGAGTTAAAAAAAAAAAATTGATAGGCTGACATACCTAGAAATGTAAGAAAAGAAAGGCATAAGAGCATTTTGGTCATTAAATTGGAATGAGTCAAATCATAGGTAATTTTCTAATTAGAGGAGTCATTTAGGATGTGGGAGCAAATAATCTCATAATTTTTTTAGTAAGATTGACTTGTACAATATATACATTGACTTTGATACTGAACCTTTGAAAATGAAAAGTATAGTTTCCTTACAATTAATTTATTTTAATGTGTGTTTATATATATATATATATATATAACTTTTTGAATCTAAAATTTGAATAGACATATGCTTTGCCTGATTAAATGCCAGCAAAATAATCAAACCTCACGTCTATCATCATACTTCATTGTCAATATTAGTCTATAAAAAGCTGGTAAAGCTGTTTGGTTTGATATCAAATGGCAAGCCTATCCAAAACCCAGAGTATTCTTATACCAAGCTCTGTAATCACAAGGGTTTATATATCAACAGCTCGTCGTATGCATCAATGGCTGCAGTGTTCTTCATGATAATGATATTATTTAAGTTAGATAATCTAACCTTTGCCATCTAATAATATACATCTAACCAATCAGGAGCAACTCAAAAGTGAGAAAAATAAAATATTGGATCTGAGTAGAATAGACCATAATTCCAACGTGAATAAAGAAAATGCGGCTAGACAACTCTGTGGAAAAATACACCTATGATTTAAAGTACTGGAGACAGACCTTTGTATTAATATGTTATACTCTCTGTCAACTAACAGATTGAAACTAATGCCCAAAATAATCGAACAATTGAATATATAGAGTTAACAAAATGGAAACTGTGAAAAAGAAGACGTCGAGACTACAATATAAGATTTATCGTGTTTAACAATCCATCCCTGTAACTAAATACAAAACTCACTATACGTATATAAAAGTACAAAGGATCTCTGGAACTGAGACTAAACTATATATATAATTTAAAAACGAAATAATTATGCTAAGAATTTTATCTATTGTGAAGCGGGTTTGGTCCAGCAGGGGCTTCTCTGCCGGAAACTCCATAAATAAGTTCGTTCTTATCATCATCACCTGAGGGCACCACCGTTAACATTCTCTTTTCGTCAAATCTTCTCCACCGCCAGAACTCGTAGAACTCAGCCGTAGAGTGCATCGGAGTCTTCATCGAACGAAGATGGCGAGCATAGGAAAGACGGAGTCCGCCTAAACATAGGATCAAGATGATTATAGATGATATAATCTGGCGCCAAGATTTCATTCTTTTTCTGCTCTCTTTCTCCCTTGTGTGGTTGTTTGCTCTCTCTCTTTGATTAAGATCCGACTACTTAGGTAGAGATTTATATTAAAATAGGACAAGACGATGCATGTTCATGATGAACTTGTGTGCATACAATAAAATATTCGAGGCAATTTGTGAAATGTCGAAACCAGCCTTTACGTGTTGGAAAAATATTTAGGTACACACACTTCTGTTATAGGAATATTATAAGTTTTTTTATATAATAAATATTATAAATTTTTCTAGAACTGTATGAATAACTTTTCTATGCTCTACTTGTATCATTCTAAATTTATACTATTTTAAGAAATTTAATTATGTTATTTTGTTGTTTTATATGATTAAAAATAAACTAATAGGCAAGAAGGATGAATAGAAGGGTATTTAAGTAAACGTATCACCCATGGGATCGATGGAGTGCTCGCGTGGAACACCCGTTGGCACAGTCGACGCTCTTTGATCATGACGTTGACTTTGTATATCATTTGTTAATTGAACTTAGCCAGCAAATTATATACTCGCAACAGTACTAATATAATGAACAAATATACATATAATATTCATCGCAATCTTATAATAGTTCTCTATTTGGCATCTTCTTCACCAGAATTTTGTTTTCTTTGTTGACAAATCAAACTATCCATACTTGCATCTTCATGATATAAGTGTAAACAAATCTATCTAAATTGAATATTATCTCACACGTTAACTTATCACATTTCAACGACTAAAGCAGTCAACAAATTTCAATGTTCATTGTTTTACGTTTCTTTTGTTTCCTCCACAAGAACAACAATCTACATTTTTCTCTGTTTCTACCTTTCACATCACAAATACTCAGAAAATTGTACACTAGAAATCATATAGTATTGTTCTTGTACATTTACTACACAATGTCTTTAGATGATACCCACTTTGAAGAATGAAACAAAACAGCAGAATCATTCATTCTACTCTGTTGGTGCAAGACATGATTGTAGTTTTCATCTCTTCTTTGCTCAACGATGCTTCCACGATTAGCTGCAATCAATAAACAATCCAAACGAAACTGAATCATCCAAGATTCATAGTAAATCAGGACATTAAGTTTTAGTACATCTTATTTTCTCTTTCTTTCTTTACCTCTTGCACTCTGTTTCCAGCTCGAGCAAGCAGTTTGTATTGGTTCTCAAACATTGGCGCCATGTAAACCTACACAGACACATTGTTCAATAAACTTAACTATAAAAAAAAAAGTAATTACTATTAAGGTGTTTGTGTTTAAAATGTGCACCTGAAACGTTGGAGCAAGACCTGGGCTCAAGAAGAAACGACCTTTTGAAACAGATTGGATTCCTTCAACCACTTCCAGCTCTTTGATAAGAGACTCCACATCAGGCCACTGTAGAAGGAAGTTTTTTTCAGAAACCCGAAAAAAAATAATGGTTAGATCACATAGTCAAAGAAGATCTTTTAATACCTCAGCGTCAAGCTCTGCAGCTTGTAACTTTCCCAACTGATCATTATCACCAACTACAGATTCTAAGGCTTCTGTTAAAGGATCAGGCTGCATAAAGATATCAACAAGGGTTAGACTTAAATCCAATGAGATACATATTTCTACAAAGAAAACTTAATACAGATCTCTATCTCACCGTGATTTCTTTTAGTGACAAGAAGATACGTTCTAGAGCAAAATCTAGCTGGTGCACTTTCGCCTCCACAATCTTTATAACACCAACAACAACAATAAAACATTTTTCGAACAGTTTCATTTCCTAGCAGCGTTAACTATATTTCATGATATTACCTGACCGATTTTGAAATATGAAGCAGGGTCTAAAGTGGCATCCCATGAAACTTCTGATTGGTGAATCAGGGCAGGGACACCTTCTAGCTGTTACAACAAAACATTTTGGTTTGAACAACAATCTGGCTTCTGTTCTTGCGGGTCTATTAGCAAAGAAGGTACTACATACCTCGCAGAAAATACCAAAATAGGTGATTTTCTTGATGCAGCATTTCACAACATCCCCAACACGAAGTTTAGCCATCAGATTTCGTTTCTTCTCAACTTCCTCTTCATTTTCTCTTGGCCTCATCGAAAATATAAGCTTCCTTGAGTTTCTATTAGCCATAACCACATTCACTTTGATTTTCTGCATTGAATCAAATGTTTAGAAGGTGGGAAAAGTAAGCATTTCCATGTAGATAATAAAAAGTTTGTTTTGGATCAAACCTGGCCAACAAAAGAAGAGAGGAACTTCTGCTTCTCTCTGTCATACACCATAAGAAGATCTTCAAGCTTTATATCAGAAGACACTTCTCCAATGACTGTCTTACCAACTTCAGAGCTTGAATCAGGAGATGGAGCTTTACTCGTGACATCTTGACCTCCAATTACTCCAAGGTTTTGTCGATACAGTGATGGATCTACACCTTTTCTTCTCAACCATGATTCAAACGCTAGAAACTTCCATTTTGCTGCAAGGTTCCGGTAAGGCAAGAATCCAATCAAAGATCCATATGAAACCTGTAAAGAAGAGAAACGAGTTAAGTAGATGAAACCTTAAACCAGAAATGAGTAAAGATCTTACTTACAGCGAACCCTCTAGTGCTCGAGCTTATTAGTTCAACATCCGCTCGTAGTTCTGTCTTAACTAGAGACTCTACCTTACTCCAATCACTTTCCTATCAAATTCATACAAGACGAGTTTATGATTTGCTTCTTGTCTCTTATGAAGGAACAAATAGTAAAAAGAGTGTTAGTTCTAAACCTCCAAGGAAGATCTAGAAGGAGGGCCTTTGAGCTCAACAGAGACCTGGCGGCCTTCTTCTTGGTTAACGGCTAACGGTTGTCCTCTGTTTGAAACTGATGGATCAGAGGAAGACGGGTCTAATCTATAACAATTTGAACCAAACAAGTCAAGTAAATGTGAAACAAAGCACAGCACAGTTCTGCAACAGAACTAATCAAGATACAGAACAGGAAAGAACCTTTGAGGTTTCCCTTGTAAAGATGCTTCGGCCTTGGTTTGAGAAACTGGATTCGAAGGAGTTCTCTCGACTGGATCACTGTTAATGGTTTCCTCCTCAAAGGATCCTGATGAAGTATCGCTCTTAAGCTGCATTTCTTGATTTAAGACAACAAACATATGAACTAATCAGCTCTCCATGTTAGACAATGAGTAAGAAGTCTTAAGTCTTTGTAAATTACCAGTTGGAACTGGTGTATTTTCAATCTCAGGCACCTCCACAGCTTCCTCTTCTACTTTCTCAGGCTCAGGCCTCGCTTCTGGCTTCTCCAAAAGAGTATACTCCGAGTATACTACATCTTCCTCCATAGTTAACCCATCACTGAGAACCTTATCTTCAGGACTTTCTTCCTCCGCATTCACACTCACTGGTTCAGGTTTTCGCAACAGCGTCATGTCACTAAACCTCTCGTTCTCCCTATCATTCCTCATCTTCAATGTCAGGTTGCGCTTCAACCGCAGCTTAGACTCCTCATCATCGTCCTCATTATTCACATAATACGAACTCGGCTTTCTCAATATAACATTAGGCAAAGTCCTTTTGGGAGGAGTAGCAGCAGAAACAGGAGCAGCAGCAGCAGCAGTCTCCAATGGCTTCTTCAGAGCAGAGTTTGGCTTTTTCACCACCGGCTTATCCGAAGTAGTTTCGAACTTGACTCCGTCTCTAGGAACTGGCTTCACCAAGTTCAAGCCACCCAGTGAAGATGAAGTTGGTTTCTTCTGCTTCTTCTCATCTTCCTTAGACCAATCCAAAGGAATCGTTTCAATGTCAGGAAGCTTACCCTTGTTCTTGTAAAAAGACTTCTCAACTTCAACAAACGAAGCTTCTGGGTTCACTTTTCTAGCCACTATCTGTTACCATCATTCTCACCAATTAACAATCATCATATCAATCAATAGAGAGAGTTCAACGTTTCGAACTTTTTATAGAAAAATCTCACCTTGGCTAAAGTAAGTTTGGGGTCTTCTCCGAGTAAGCGGCCGAACTTGAGCTCCATTTGATCCCATTCGTTCAGCTTCGGCTCTTCCCTTTTCGAAGCAGATACTACAAACTTCTTGTTCTTAGCTGGTACGTTTCTTCTCACTCTAACACTAGAAGGAAACAACGGGAAGCTTCCGGCGATAGATACGGCGGCTGAAGCGGAAGAGGATAAGGCGATAACGTCCATTTTCCGATTAAAGCCCAGAACTTTTATACTAATTTCTCTGACCCAGAATCATAGGGTTACGATCAAAATCTCGAATTTCGTTTTAACTCGAGTGACACTGGCTCGAGCTCTGGCCTGAGTGAAGAACAGAGGAGAGAATGGACTATGGCGAAGGAGGAGGAGCTTTATCGGTTTAGCTTTTGCATATTTTTTGGCTTCGGGTTTTACCAATGGTGGAGAGACACGTGGTTGATGAAGCAATGACCATGCGATTGAATTAACGTCTTGATGTTCTTTAGTTTTGGATGTAAAATGTAAGTCGTTTTTCGTTTGCTCGAACGTCATTTACTGATCTTCTTTCTCACATAAACGACGCAGTTTCGCTTAAGAAACGAAACTAGGCCTAGGGGATTTGGTTAATGAGCCTAGAATCGGCCCAAGAGAGATGTTAGTTGAGTAAGCAAGACTAGACTGATACATGATAGTGTAGGTGGGAAAGTCTGAAATATGCATAGATTAAAATTTTAAGCAAATTTTATATTTCAAACTATAATCTTACAAGAGTGATTTAGTGAACTACCCATATTTTAAGTTCAAATTAGTAAAATACCATTGATTGGACATGAAGGACACTGACACAACCATTTGGCAAGGAAATGCCGAGAATGCCCTTTCTCTTTCCTCTCATTAATACGAAGCGTAAAAACATTTGTTAACATATAACACTTCTGTTAACGTCTACAATATTTGTTAACAGCCAACACATTTATTACCGCGAAGCGTAAAAATAATTGTTAACAATTAACACTTTTGTTAACGTCTACAATATTTGTTAACAGCGAACACATTTATTAACGCGAAGCGTAAAAATAATTGTTAACAACTAACACTTCTGTTAACGTCTACAATATTTGTTAACCGCTAACACGACGTCTAATCTAAAACCCAGAAAATTGATATAAAAAAAATTGAGGATTCAAAGCCACTTATGAAAAAAATAATGAAATTTAAAATTTAATTGTATATAGAATGATAGAAATTTGTAAAATAATTATGGATTAGAGAGAAAAAAGGTCAAAAAATTGAGGAATCAAAGCTAATTATGAAAAAATAATGAAATTTAAAATTTAATTGTATATAGAATGATAGAGATTTGTAAAATAATTAGGGATTGAAGAGAAAAAAAAAGGGGAAAAATGTCAAAGTGATGAGAGAGCGTGTAGAGAAGGGCAAAATCGTCACACGAAAAGCAACTGTCAAATCAAGGTTAATTCGCTAATTATAGGTGGCATATAGGGTACTTTAGCCAATTAACTCATCTTACAATTCCAACTTTTACATATAGATTAGTTTTTAGGAATTTTTTTTTATTTACAATAGTTTGATTTTTTAAATGTTTTAGTTAGCATTTTTAACGTCAAAAGAAACAAATTTAAAATTTAATTGTTTTGAACAGTATTTTTTTTTGAAACACTGTTTAGAACAGTATAAAATGTAGAAAATGTTCTATGTAATTATCCAATGCTAACAACTGATATTTCTTTGCACACCATGTGTTTGTATGTGTTAACACTTAACAGTAGGGATCAATCGACTGTTTAGTACGAACGGAAAACATGGGTGACACGTGAAAACGACAAAACTGAAAGTTAAAATGGGCGTTATGTTCGAGTTTTCTACCGCGGTTTTCGTTCTGAAACTATGTACACTTGTCGCTCGATTTATCTTTGTCTGTTGGCCTCATGGTTTTTTTTTTTTTAAACAACTGTTGGCCTCATGGTTTATGTCTCCTTTCTCCACTTTTTCGTATTTCTAGGAATATTTAACTCTAATAAAAGTGTGCTTGCACATGCTTCTCGGTGAAGTTAATGTAGAAATGTCCACTCCTGTCTAGTGGTCTAATAACAGAAATCGTGACAATAATTTCTCTTGTATATATTTTCTTATGTTTTATTCGTCTCAGTATAAATACACGCGATGTAATGATTTTATTTTAATAGGTCTTGTCTCATTCACTAAACATTCACAAACCAATCCAAATTCAAAAATGCCAAAAGTTGCACCTAACAAAACCATATTATAACCAAAAGAATTTGTTCGATCATATCACCTTCGTAGAAACAACAATAGTATCAAAACCTAATCTTCCACAGATTAGGAATCTTTTAGACTTATGTAACTTAAATATTCACCAGCTTTCAGCAGAAGCAAAAGTCTATTAATGGGAAAACACGTTTTAATTTAAGGCAAAAACAATTCAAAGACATAAAAAATCTGAATATGTAAATTAATATTTGTGCCAAACAACATGGGACCTAAACGCCCACAGTTTTACCCCCTCTATAAATGAAATTCTTTCAGTCTTTCACTTCAACTCCATCAAGAAACTTCAAACTGCAAAAACAAAGCATTTCTTTCATTTACCAAAAACACTTCCAAAGTTTTTTTTCACTTCTTGCTTCCTATTACAAATGGATGTCTACATATCCGAAGAGTATGTCAACCGCAGGAGAATGGAGAAAAAAGCTGCCGCTGTTGCCGGAAAGAATCTGAGACTCGGCTTTTGTGCATGCAATATACCGGAAAATAGAAAAAGCATTCCCCAGATATCGGAATCTCGGCCGGAGAATGAGTTTCGGGTCACCGGAGGTGGTGGTGTTTATGAGAGTTTTGTGTTCCAATGCTTCTCGCCGTAATAACCTAAGCGCTGTCGTTTAATGATTATAAGGCAGACGCAGATGCATATGCATGGGCTGTTATATTAGTTGTAGCTCTTGTATTGTATTTTATCTTACTTAATAGTTTTATAGAGGGGGTTTTCTTAACTACATGTGTGTTTATCCATAAACTACAACAATGTATGATTGTTAGAATCTAGATAACTAAATAAGATATGTCAAATAGAGTGATAAAATTATTGAACGAATATAAATTATCCATCGAAAAAATAGTAGATAATGTATAATCAGACTTTCTGAGTGAAAACAAAAACTATTAGTTATTCTGTTAAATTATACAGTTAATAAATAACACAAACTGGCTATGTTTCGGTCTTTCTTGCTGACTCGGTTCGGTTGAAAGGAAACCCGCTACATTATAACCAGAACTAGGCTATGCGGTTATTTGAAAAAATCCTTCGACAAAATCGGTTAACTTTGGTTTAAGCTTGGTCATTGCTGACCGGTTAGTAAAGAATACAACCTTTTATTATATGCGTCCGGTTAGAGCGAGCGATTCTTGAATCATCGGTGTGGCCTTTAAAACCCCAAATAGAGTGATGTCATCAAGTTTCGTTCTTGGATTGGGTTTTCGTTTTCCAAATTGTAGCGCAAGTACTATATCGAAAGTTAGCCAGCCCATTATTGGTTTTGAAGAGTGGACTACAAATTCGTACCTCGTTTGTCTTTGTTTGTTTTAGTCTCTTAATTTTTTCTTTGATAACCGAATATCATGATTCCACCATGTGACCAGATTAGAGACCGATTCTTGCGTGAACGTACACCCAAAAATGAATATTAGTTAAGTTAACACGATCTTCGATCTCAGACGTTGGAAGGTTCGCATGTAAATCTCCTAGTGACCAGATTTCAAATCTAGATGACAGAACTCATAACGGTAAACCCTTTACCATCTAGACTAGAAATTCCGGTTATTCTCTTAATTGTGAATGGAAAAATAATGTCTACCTATTACAAACGACAACTACTTAACTAATCCCTAGTAATTCAATAAATCAATTTTAGGTAATTCGTAGACTAACTAGCTGCAGCAATGCCTAACACGTTCACCTCAATTCTCGTAATTTATTATCTAAAATGTCATATATTGGGAAATCGCCTAAGATAAATATGAAATACGTGGGTGTATATGATTGGACTGGGACCGTATGGATTAATGTATAAATAGTATAGTCATATATGCTACATTTTTCTTTCTATATATTAATTAGTAAAGAAATCTATATCAAACATTTCCTAATTCATTATATGTCTATAGATCTGATGCATATTATTTTAGTTTTAAATCCATCACCAGAAAACAAAACTCTTATCTCTATTCTCGAAATCAGAAAATATTATTACTAAACTAATAAAATACTGCTAAAGGATAAGAAAATACTTAATAGATTATGATCTTTTTTTTTTTTTGAAAGAATTTTAAATTTATTCAAATCAAAAAAAACATTGTTACACACATAAGTGCATCATGAGTAGAAAAAGAGAAATACAAATTTGACAAAAGAGAACAACCAAGAAAAAATCAGCTTTCCAACACAACACTCCTCCTCATAATGACCATATGGAACAAGTCAAAATGGAATGATCCCAACCTAATCCTCATTAAAACCTCACTAAAGTAAACCCAATTGGGACAAACCTTTAATGAGGAAAGAGTAATCAGATTGAGATCAGAGGAGTGTAAGAGGAAAGAACAGCAGAACCATCCAAAGCTAAGAAAAACCGAGAGCCAGCACCAGCTCAGAAAAAACCCGTCAGCAAAATTCAAAAAGAGTCCACTCCCGCGAAAATCCAAAGCCAGCCAAAAAGAACTCAGCAACAACCAAATTATCAAAACACTTGCAGAGGAACCCCCGCAACAGACTAAACCAAACCAACAACCAGCAGAAGAGAAAACCATAGCCAAACAACACGCAACCACACTCGAGACCAAAGCTCAGAAAAGACCCAACTATCTCCCAAACCAAGACTGCATCGCCTTCTCATATTTCTTCTTGTTCTTTCTTTGAAGGGAGGTAATTCTGTTTCTAACCAACTTCTCCAACCTGGCAATAAGACAATTAGCAGATTGCTCTGGTTCACTAACTCTTCTCAAGTTTCTTTCAATCCAGAGAGCATAAATCACAGCTTGAAAACAGTATCTTAAAAGAAATGAGATATGTTTTCCATGTGATCCATTGACCACGACATTAAGAACATGATCCCATTTGTAAATATTGCCATTACCAGCCAGATTACCAGTGATTCCTCTCCAAACATCCTTCGAATAGCTGCATTCAAAAAACATATGATCACGAGATTCAATCTCCTCTTTACACAACCAGCAGGTGGCAATAGCAAGAGAATTCCATTTAAGAATTCTATCTCCGGTCGCAAGTCTATTGTGAATAGTAAGCCAAGTAAGGAAAGCAAATTTCGGAGTTGCTTCTTTTATCCAAACACTTTTACACCAGTTAACAGCTGGAGATCGAAACCTGATGAGATTCCAGGTTTTTGCAGCGCTAAATTTTGGTTCAAATTCCCCATTATCCTGCTTCCATAAGCAAACATCCTCCATCATGTTAAGACCCTGATACCTCAACTTATCCATTTCCTTCTCAATCAAACGAAAAACAGGAACTCTGTGGGATCTACTACAGTAAAGTTGAAAGGCCCTTTCAACCGTAGCATACAAAGGAATTCCCAACACAATGCAGCCCCCATCACCCGTAAGATCAATCAGTTTTCCAAGAGAAGACCAATTATCCAACCAAAAAGAAGTATGGGCTCCACTGTTAATCTCTTTCCTTATAAATTGGTAAGCCATAGATCTCAGCTTCAGAAGTTTCTTCCACATCCAGGATCCCAAATTACTACTTTCTTTCAAGCTCCAAAAAGAACCCTTCCTGATAAGGTATCTCCAAACCCATTTAACCCAAAGCGAGTCTTGAGTAGACCAAAGCCTCCAGATAAGTTTAAGGCACGAGACATTATTCATTTCATTCAGATTTCTTAGCCCAATACCTCCTTCTTCCTTAGGCATACAAACATCAGCCCAAGAAACCTTAGCTTTATGAGTAGAGAGAGAAGGACCAGACCAGAGAAAAGCCGCACAAATGCTATTGATCTCAGTAATGCAGTTGCGAGGTAGCCTATAGGCAGACATCCAGAAGTTGATGATGCTATACAGAACAGAACCAATAAGCTGGAGGCGACCAGCAAACGAAAGATGCCTAGACGTCCAGGAAGCAACACGAGCTCTAATTTGAGCTATAAGCGGATTATAGTCCTGAACATTCATCTTTTTAGTCAAAAGGGGAAGACCAAGGTATCTCACCGGTAAGGAACCAGCTTCAAACGGAAATTGATCAAGAATAGCCACACTATGATCAGAATTAACACCAGCCAGATATAAAGTTGACTTCTCCAGACTAATACTTAACCCAGACATTCGAGCAAACTGCTTAAACACCAACAGAATTCCTTCAATAGACTTTTTCTTACCATCTGAAAAGACAAGAACATCATCCGCGAAACATATATGAGTCAAACCAATCTCTTTACAGTAAGGGTGATAACCAACATGTTTCTCAACAGCCGCCTTATCAATCAGTTTAGAAAGCACCTGCATACACACCACAAATAAATATGGAGATAAAGAACAACCTTGACGAAGACCCCTCTTACTATTAAAGTACCCCGCAAGCTCGCCATTTATCTGAACTGAGAAAGATGCCAATTCAATACATTTCTTGATCCAGACAATAAACTTCTCAGGAAAATTCAGAGCAGCCAAAACCGTGAGTAAAAAAGACCATTGAACTGAATCAAAAGCTTTAGATATATCAATCTTGATAGCACATCTTTCAGACACAGAATCCTTATGATAATTCTTCACCAGCTCAGAAGCAAGCAACACATTCTCCATTAAAAGTCTATCCTTAACAAAAGCTGATTGATTTAAGGAAATAAACAGAGGAAGCAATCTTTTCATACGGTTAGCAAGGATCTTGGAGATTACCTTATAAATCACGTTGCAACAGGAAATTGGCCGGTAGTCTTTCATAGTGATAGCAGTGTTCGACTTAGGAACAAGAGCCAGGATGGTAGAATTTATGCCTTTAGGAAGAAACCCTTTTTCGAAAAAAGATTGAACAGAGATGACCAAGTCACGACCAGTAATACTCCAAGTAGCTTTAAAGAACTCAGCAGTATAACCATCAGGACCAGGGGATTTATCCGCAGCCATAGAGAACAAAACCTTCTTCACTTCCTCCATAGAAACCTCTTGAATCAACATCCTCCTATCATCTTCTGAACATTCATAACCAAGCAGCTCTTTCATGTCATCTAGTTGCACACCTTCATAATCCTCAGACGAATGAGTAAGAAAATTATAAAAATGGCTCACAGCTTCATGCTTAATATCTTCCTGACTATCAGCAGTAGAACCATCAGCCCTTTTAATCTCACGAATAGAGTTACGAGTTTCTCTGACTCTGGCAGCTCTATGAAAACTTTTATTATTTCCATCTCCAACCTCAAGCCAGTGGATTTTTGCTCTCTGACTTATCACCTTTTCCTCAATACGAGACAGCAAAGCCCATCTATCATACGCCACAAATTCATTATCCATATTGCACTGAGAGGGGTCAGCCATGGTTTTCATTTGAGCAGAACAAAGAGTCTGAAAAGCTTCGCTGGTCTTCTTGAAAATACCCCCGAACTTCTCTTTACTAAGATTCCGGAGAGCAGGCTTAAGGGCTTTCAACTTCTTAGATAAACGATAGAGAGCTGAGGTAGAAATAAAAATGGGATCAGTCTCCAACCAAAACCCTTCCACCAACGCACTAAACTCAGGTTTGTCCACCAGCGCATTCACAAATTTAAAAGGCTTCTTAGGTTTCATTTCCTCAGCTCTGAACACCAATCTACATCTTTGATGATCTGAACAACCCCCAGCATCAAAAACACAATAAGCCTGAGAAAAAACCCTCAAACCAACCTCATTTACCATGACTCTGTTAAGTTTCTTGCAAATAACCCCATTGTTACGCTTGTTACACCAAGTAAACGTGGGACCCTGATAAGCCATATCCAACATAGAACAATAAAGAACCACATCCTTAAACTCTCTCATTCCCAAGATGTCCTGAGCAGAGACAACAGAATGCTCCTTAATATCCAAAATCTCATTGAAATCACCTTGAATAATCCATGGCGCCTTACTAATGATGGGAGAGTCTTGATGATCCTTAAGATCCTGCCATAAATCCCTCCTTTCCTCAGCCAGGTTCTTTGCATAAATAAAAGAACAGAAATATTCATTAACACCACCTTCCATAAGAATGGAACAAGTTATCATCTGATCACTCTTAAAACAAGGAGTGACCCTAACTTTTGGATTCCAGATAACCCAAATCCTCCCCAACCTATTATACTCATAGTTAGTAAGATAAGACCAACCCGGAACCACCTTCTCCAGAATATTTTTAACTCTACTTTCCTTAACTCTTGTCTCAATCAAACAACCAAACTGAAAACCATTCCTCCTTATCCAATCCGACACAACTAATTGCTTGGAACCTTTATTAAAGCCTCTAATATTCCAGAAAAACCTGACATATTAATGGCGTTGAGATTTCTTCTTATTCAGGAAACTCGAATCCTGAGTTTTCTGACTCCCCCGTAAGTACCTATGATTTATCTTGGATTGACGAGGCAGATATGTGCGCGTGCTTATATCCTCCTCTTTCTCATCAGAAGAAACAATCTCACCCTCCTCTTGCTGAGTATCTTTGATATAACTCATCTCCGCAGAGTCCTCATCATCCACTGTCATCAATACTGAAAATCTAGATCTTGTAAGTATAGGCTCCTGAACAGAAACCCTTTCTTTAAGAGTACGACTAGCCTTAGCAGGAGATACAGCAGCCCAGTCTTTTGTGCTCAGATCATTGACCTTTCCAGGAGTTATCTCGTTGTCCATCTCATTCACCTCAACAACTTGTATCTTCTCTTTCTCAACATTAACAACTATCCGCTCAGCCTGAGTAGAGCTGATTTCCTCTTGAGGCAAGTAAATATTTCCTTGGATTTTCTCCTTATTTTCATCAGTATTCTTCTCATGGATCTCCTTTATTACTATGTCAGTACCTTCCTGAACACCTTTAGGACAGATTTTCCCTGTGTGTCCCCATCTTTCACACTTTTCACACTTCTTAGGCAATCTCGGGTAGCTATACTCCACAAGAACATCTTCTCCCTGAATATTGAAATTCAATTGCCTGGGAAGATCCTTTGTAAGATCCACATTTACAAACACCTTTGCTTCTTCCACCTTTAGACATTGAGCTGTTTCCGGATGAAGCCTTTTTGGGATACCCAATGGACTTGTTAGGAAACTAAGACCTTGCCATGAAAACATTGATAGAGGAACATGTTTGACATGAACCCACATTGGAATGGATTGTGTCGGCGGTTTCTCTTTCTCAACTACCGGAGACCATTTCGTCATCACCACTGGGATCCCTGCTAGATTCCACATTCCTCTTCTCAGTATTCTATTCTTATCCGCCTGATTTGAAATTCGGAACTTCATCATTGTATCATTCACAACAAACACATCAATCTTCTGAGTCTTATCGTTTAAATTCCAGATTTTGTTAACAATCGCGTGCACCTTTGCTATATGGGGAGCATTATCAAGAAACTTCCCAATCAAGAAATCATCCCAAAGAGGAGCAACGTCTTTGGTGATCTCCTCTGGAACTCTGATAGATCCAATACCATCTTTCATTTCAATCTCCACATCGTACTTTTTAACACCTTTTGGCCTTGAACCGCTCCAACCCAGGATCCCTTAGCTTTGACTTGAGCCGGAATTTGAAAATCACTTGTCATCTCAGCTTCCAAATTTTTTGGAGATTGGATCTTCTCCCCTTCTGCTTCAGAATCAGCAGCCCAGGATCCTTTCACAGTTTTCGAATCACAGACAGAATCATCTCTCGCCACATCCAGATCCAACATCTTTGGAGTTTGGTCCTCCTCTCCAACCTTTCCGGAGCTTTGTCCCAAATCCACAGAAATCGCCGTAGCAACACCCACACCCTTCATAGATCGTCCAGAACCTTGCGAATCATCTCTCGCCACATCCAGATCCAACATCTTTGGAGTTTGGTCCTCCTCTCCAACCTTTCCGGAGCTTTGTCCCAAATCCACAGAAATCGCCGTAGCAACACCCACACCCTTCATAGATCGTCCAGAACCTTGCGTCTCCTCCGTAGATGTGCCCTCTTTCATCGGAGAGAGAGACAAATCCGGCGGAACCGCCGTATCCATACCGTTATCGAACAAGAGAAATCCCTTTTCGCCAATCGCCGTTTTTTTCGCCAGAGCAAAACGCTGCATTTCAGTAACGTCCTTCTAATCTCCTAAAAAGAAGTCATCTTAATAGATTATGATCATGGTGCAAACAAGTTGTGTATATAGCCAACAAAAGATAAATAAACAACTTCAAAATTTAAAATTATTAGAAGTAACAAATGAGAAGAAGAGCTGACAGTAGAGATAGTCATATTCGCTGAAATGCTATAAAAGGAGAGCAGCTTGTGTCAGTGAGTATATGTGAAGAGTAAGTAACACGAGAGAAGATGGGTTTTACATGAAGAAGAGAGTCTGATATCTAGTAGCCAAGGATGACTTGCCTGCGGTCAAGTCTTCTCAATGATTCAATCTTCTTGGGTTTTCTAACTAATATCTAGCATTCTGAAAACAGTTTGTTAAAAGTTGATTGAATCTTGAGGTTTATGTCTCAGGCAGTCTCCTTGACTATCTTGATATGCTCTCTTTATTCATGTTACACCAATATCTTCTTCCTATAATTTATGAAAATATATTATCTAATTAGACGCATACGTTTGTGATTGTACAATTATTTTCATGTCAATTTTGAAAAAAGTTTTAAGCGAGAGTGTTGGCGCTTCCTTTTAGGCCTCTGGTAATGCCTTTGCTTTCCACATTTCTAACTTGTAAAAACGTTATGAAGTTGCAATTGTGACACTATGAATGGGTTTTGCACTTTATGCACACACACACGCTGTAATGGTTTAAAGATTGTTCCTTCTACTTACTAAACCTCTTGTATTTCGACTAACCCCGTATCCTTTTTGTTCTTCTGTGAGACTCTTGTTTTACAGTCGCACTATGCTCAATCCAAAAGACATATTGCATATCTATCTTGTCTTACTTAACCGTCTCTGTTAATGTCGTATCCGTTTCTTTGAGAGTAGAATAATCCACAACATTGATTGGAAAACCAGGTTTCATGTGTGTTGTTCTCTGTAATTCGTATGAATATGGTGTAATAGAAAGATAACAGTTACTATCTCACACATGGTAAACCTTACTTAAAAATTCTACCAATTCAATACTAGTTTTCTCTAATGTAAAGTCACAAAACACACAAGCAACAAGCTTTAAACTCAGACATAAGCGAGAAAAGGTGTTGGGATTTATGCAAGAGAGACACGATGAGTTACATTGCAATAACATCATTGATATATATTGGTTTCACTTTGGTCCAAGGGTTTAAAACATTAGAGAAACCATGACTTGGATTTCACAACACTAACATTCGTTATAAGATATAAAGGTTTACGCGTCACTAATCGTCGCTGCTATCATCATCATCATACAGGTCACTGGAGATGTAGACTCCAGGCTGAATCGATCGTCTTCTAGTCCTTGACGGGAGGATGTTATCCAAATCCACCTCCGCCAATGGATCGTCGGACAACTCGCTTTCGTCATACTCATCACCATATTCGTCTTCATCATCACTACTTTCACTTTCATCAAATTCGATTAATTTTCCTTTTCCTTTGTCCTCCCTCGATAAGCCTTTACCTTTCCTATCATTCTCCTCTTCACCATCGTTTTCCTCTTCCTCTCCACCTTCTTGCTTCTCTCCAGCAGCATTCTCATCCTTCCCCGACTCAGAACCAGAAGCTTCCTCAAGCGAATTCGATGCCTCTGTCCCAGTTTCTCCATCAGTAGAAGAATTCAGATTCCCTGCTCCGCTTACACTAACTTCCACGTCTCTAGAATCAGAACTAGTGGAATGATTAAGCTTCTGAGACTTGTTCGCCACACTATCCTGCTCTTGGCAACAGAGATCCGGTTTTCTCTTAACCGGAAACGAAGAGTCCGGTTGATTCTCAACGTCCGCCATAGATGAAAAGTGCTCTTCCTTGCGAATATACAGAGACTTGTGGTGGGTTGTTCGAAGAGTTAGAGCACCCACATTGATGAACCCCCTTGGGGGTTCATAGAAATAAAAAAAATAATTTTTTTTTTTTTATTTTCGTTTACTTTTTAAAAAATTAAAAATTAAAAAAAAAAATTAATTTTGGACCACTCATATGTTGACACGTGGTGAACCCGGGGTCATCGGGGTTCACCGCGGTGAACTTTTGAGAAAGGGGTTCATAGAAATCTGATTTTAATATTATTTTTTTTTCTCGGTTTCCGTGTGAACTCCCCCCCATCAACCCTTGATGGGGGTGCTCTTAGGTTAGGGCTTTAAGCAGACAGAACCAAAATTCCAGTCAATAATGTCATGGTAACTCCTAGCTACAAGTTTTTGTAGGATTTTCTATTTTTTCTTATTAATTGGGCTCAGCCCATCAGCCCATTAGCCCATTAGCCCATTAGCACTCATATTAATTTTTGTTTGTGTCAGGTGGAGAACGTGGCGCGGGTAATAATAAACCGGCCTCCAATGATATTATCTGGCCGGTTTGGTTTACTACTCGTTAAGCAATATAATCCAAACCGGTTATCCATTATGATTGAGAACAAAGTATACACAGATCCATCGGAGAAGAAGAAGAGAGGAGTCAGATTGAGAAAGAATGACTTCGAGGTACTGGGTGGTGTCTCTACCAGTGAAGGACTCTTCCTCCACGTTATGGAATCTTCTTCAAGATCAGATCTCCAAGCATTCCTTCGATACTCCTGTTTATCGGGTACGATGGATTTTGATTGAAAATTTAATTGGCAGGTATTTACGATCTGATTAATCTCTTGGATTGATTTCGCAGTTTAATATCCCTAATCTTCGTGTTGGAACGTTAGATTCTCTACTCGCTCTCGGCGATGATCTGCTCAAGGTAATTGAATTCGTCTCTCTCGATTGGATGGATCATATTTTTGGGAATTTTGTTGTTGTTTGGTGATTATAAGAAAAATGATTATGTTGTTGGGATGTGTAGTCGAACAGCTTTGTGGAGGGAGTTTCACAGAAGATAAGGAGACAGATAGAGGAGCTGGAGAGGATTTCTGGTGTTGAGAGCAATGCTCTTACTGTTGATGGAGTTCCTGTTGATTCTTATCTCACCAGGTATTTCACATTTCTCTTCACAACTGCTAATTGATGTCAATCAATTTCGGTAAAGAACAAAGCTTTTTTGGTGATTGGGGTCGTCAAGGTTTGTGTGGGATGAAGCTAAGTACCCAACAATGTCACCTCTGAAGGAGGTTGTTGACAATATTCAGTCTCAGGTTGCCAAGATTGAGGATGATCTCAAGGTATTGATTCTTGACTTTTAGCTGAATGAGTCTGTTGGTATACAAGTCTCCGAGTTTTTCTTTGTGAAGAGTAGCTGGTAGATCTTGTTTTATTATGATTTGAATTTTCTTCTTGTTATTTGATGAAATTTTGTTCTTGCTGACTCTGATTGCACTTTGTCTTCAGGTTCGTGTAGCTGAATATAACAATATCCGCGGTCAACTCAATGCCATTAACCGAAAGCAAAGTGGAAGGTAAGCTTTTGCTTTCTTTCTCTTATTCGTACCTTGATTTCTCGATTGGTCTAAGTTTCCTTGAAACATGTTCTTCCATGTTAAGGTGTTAGAATAATAATAGATAAAAGTCTTTTATCTGTTATCCTTTATATATATGTGTGCCAATATGGCTGATCTTCCTCCTTTTTGGTTACAGCTTAGCTGTTCGTGACCTCTCAAACTTGGTTAAACCAGAAGATGTTGTCACGTCTGAACATCTCGTGACTCTCCTTGCAGTTGTCCCAAAGTATTCTCAAAAAGACTGGCTAGCATGTTACGAGACATTGACCGACTTTGTGGTAAAATTATTAATTTAATATACCAACGTTAAAACTATTACTACAGTGTGTTTAATCAATTTATTCTAACTCTTCTCAGGTTCCCAGGTCCTCGAAGAAATTGTTTGAGGATAACGAGTATGCTCTTTACACCGTCACCCTCTTTACTCGTGTTGCTGACAATTTCAGGACAAATGCCCGCGAGAAAGGGTTCCAAGTGAGTATTTCTAGTCAAGTTCCTGTTTTTACCTCTAGAGCTCTCTTAGAAGTTCCTGATATTACCTCTAGAGTTCACTGTGCAAGTTGAGACATTTGGTTGATTCTCAAGATTTATACATTAAACTGCTGTATACCTTTCTCTTTTAGGTTCGTGATTTTGAACACAGCGTCGAAGCACAAGAGACTCGCAAACAAGAGCTAGAGAAGTTGGTTCAGGATCAGGAAAGTTTGAGAAATTCTCTTTTGCAGTGGTGCTACACAAGTTATGGAGAGGTACACAGTACTCTGTATAGCTATACTCTTGTAATATCATCTTAGAAATCAAAACCTGAATCTGTTTTGATCATCGATCTATATCTGTAGGTTTTCAGCTCCTGGATGCATTTCTGTGCTGTGCGTATATTCGCTGAGAGCATTATGAGATATGGTTTACCTCCGGCTTTCTTGGTAAACTAAAACTCCAAGCTATGCTTTTCTAAAAAAATTCTCTCAACCGTATAAACTCCATGACTAAATTACTTTATCTTGTCTTGTGAGTTATTTTCCAGGGATGTGTCTTATCTCCGGCTGTAAAAAGTGAAAAGAAAGTCCGTTCCATTCTTGAACGCTTGTGTGATTCTACCAACAGGTATGTTAAAAAGTCTCTGCTTTATCTATTCTAATGAGATTTTGATTTTAATTACTGGGTTTGATTGTATGAAAAACAATGCAGTTTATACTGGAAAAGCGAGGAGGATGGAGGAGCAGCCATGGCTGGTTTAGCAGGCGATTCCGAGACACATCCTTATGTCTCCTTCACTATCAACCTTGCTTGAAGTTGATGAGAGAGATTGCTTGATGCTTCTTCTACGTCTATGCCTTTCTTCATCTGTTATATTTGTTTGTGTTCTTCTATACATATTTCATTGTTATTTTTCGTAAAATATATTTTGATTTTTTTTTTGTTTCAAAATAAAAGAAGGGAAAATGAAGGTGGCACTGGAGAGATGTTACTGTAATTTATTTGGCCGGAGTCTTGTTAGATTCCGATGAGTTTCTGATACTTGTGGACAGACGATACAGTTGTTAATCATTTTGTTGCATTATTAAGCTGTTTCGTTTTTCTCTCTTTTTGTTTTGGTCTGAATGATATTATTATTGGTATTTTCGAAACGAGCGGTTTGGTGTCGGAAATGTTCTGGAAGGTAGTGCGCAACACATGTAACCACTTCAGAACGTATATGCCAAGTTTTCATTAGACGCATACATAAGTATAACGGTGTTTAACGTAGTATAAGATTGAATTTCGTGAAATTAAGAACAAAAAAGACTCAAAGGAGGAAAGATGACACTGTTAAAGCGAATCACAAAGATTACAACATTAGTGACATAACAATGAAACAGATACTAACAATGACCAGAACCAAATAAAGATCAGGACGGAGCTGCATCGAGATGCCTGCAACATCCCCGTTAAACTGGCCTGAGCTAGGACCATACGCGGGTGCTTCTGGAACAGGAGAGGTAGCAGAATCAAATGACTGGTTTCTGGTCGGAGAAGGGAAAAATGAAGACATATCTGGTGCATTGACATACGGTAAGACAGCAGGAGAAGCTGAGATTGTGGATTCACTGCAAACCAGAGCCCATTGAACCGACACAGCGACCAAGAGAAACATGGAAAGCGAGAAGCTACAAGACAGAGCCATAGGTGTTTCTGTTCTGTTCTGCAAAAGAAAGATACCTTTTCCAGAAGATTATAAATAATAGAGCAGAGAAGAAGACAGATTAATCCTTTGTTACCATGTGTGTATGTGCGTGTCGTACTAAGAAACAACGAAATGAATCAATGTGTTCACGGACTAGAGTATGTGTCCTTAACTGTTTCACATCACATGCCTGTTTATTTTGGTTCCTTCCTCTTAAGTAATGTGATTGCATTTACCCTCTTTTCACTTCTACCACCTAAGGGTAACAAGTAAAAAAACTCTTTACGTCTGCAAAAGTTTTCAAATGGCGCGTGAAGGTCTTGTAAAAATTTATCAGCACGTTATTGTTCTGAGATTTTACATGGTAAAAATAATTTGATGATGTTGACGACGATGACAGGCGCTGCAACCATCTAAGATGAGCGGTATCGATGATTAAATATGGTTAAACGATAGGCCTAACATAATTTCTAGCGAAAACCATTCAGGTAGGACACCTCCATTCAACCGGAGGGTTTAAAATCTCAGTGACACAGCCCAAACCCATTTTAGAAACTTTATAAATTTTTGCCACAAATAACGGGCCTCACAGGCTCAAAACGATCAAATCTTGGCCTTCAAGTAACCTATTGACAAAGGTGATATAAAATTCATTTTTCTTTTATCACTATACTAAATATAACATCTTTAAATTAATATTATCTAAATTAATAATTTCAATAAAATAATATAATTTTATAATTTTACATTCAAATTTTGGTTTAATTGGTATGTCAGTTAATTAATAATCTTTATAAATTAATAAAAAATTATAGTTTTGGTATAGTCTCAAAATTATTAATTTATAAAAATCAATTTCACTGTATAAGATTCTTATTAAAAAATTATTCAGGTTGCACAGAAATGTTTATGTAAGTAAAAAAATTATAAAAATATACTTCTTATTTCTTTTAAAATGAGTGGAGGTAAAGGAAGATGGAAAAAAAGGGACCATGGCCTCGTTGTTATAAAGGAAAAAAGGGACCATATTGCTTCCGACATCTTTTATCACAATTAATCTTGAATTATTGGATCTTCTTTTTACTTTTTACTGGTCGATAATTGATTCAGTACATACTCCTTTCTTAAAGCTGGTCTAATTTGTAGCTGAATATACAAAAAGACCAATACAATATGAAATTTGCAATAGCTATTATAATTGTCTACCAAATAACAATCTTTTTTTTTGTTTGGCAACACTCACTGAACAAACTAATTGCAAGGTTATTACCATGTATCTAAATGTTACAAAACGAACGGTCGGAACTTTGCTAAGTTCTGACACTCACTGAACTATTCCCGCAAAAAAAAAAAAAAAAAAGAGAGAGAGAGAGGTGGCGAAAGATGAAGTGGAGGTGAGAGACGGAAAGCAAACAGAGTCACGAGAATCATTGGCAACTCTCTGAAGAAGCAGAAGCAAAAAAAAAAAAAAAGTAGTAAATGTTGAATCCCACAAAATCTTTAACTTTTTAGGGTTTGAGCTCTGTCTCGATCTTTCGTCTTTAGATTTGGCTTTTTTCTTCTTGATGAGACCTCTTCTGCAAGATCCTCGTGATTCCACTTTAACGCCTCCCTTCTTCTTTTTGTTTTTAAACATCTCTGAAAATATTCAAAGTATCATTTACTATTATTTATATCCCCTTTTAAATGTTTCATTTCCCTTCAAACTTCTCCAAAGTTCCTAAAACTTTTTTCTCAGCTATGAACAGCGACGGAGTCTGGCTCAACGACGCCGTAGAACGTTCTCAGGCGAGCTACAACGATGAGCCTAGTACGTGGGTTAAAAACCCAGAAGAAAACTGGTTTAATAACACACAACCACCACCACACGATGCTTCTCAAAACAGTGGTGGGTTTCACTTAAACCCTTCAGAGAATCTCCTCTTCCTTCTTCAGCAATCCATTGACTCCTCATCTCCTTTACAACACTTAACACTCGGTTCTGCTACCCCTCAACAACAACAAGAACAATCTTTCTTAGCTACAAAAGCTTGCATCGCTTCTCTCCTCAACGTCCCTCCCAACAACCCTTTTGATGACTTTGGTTTCGACTACTCTGCGATTTTAGGACAACTCCACACACCAAACTCAATGAGTTTCCCTGTAATGACTTCACCAACACCGGACTTCCTCCCCTCCCGGTCATGCAATGTCTTCAGCCCTCTGGAGTTTGAGGGACTCGCTAGTGGCGTTTTCGAGAACAGAGCTAATAAGGTTCTGAAACCTTTAGAGGTTTTGCCTTCCTCTGGTTCTGAGCCGACACTGTTCCAGAAACGAGCTGCAATGCGTCAGAGTTCGAGTAGCAAAATGTGCAACTCTGACTCTTCTTCTTCTGAGATGATGAGGAGATCAAGGAGCTACGAGAGAGAGGTTGTTGTTGTTGATGAGACTAGTACTGGTTTGAACTATGACGAGTCTGATGAGCATAATTACAACAAAGGGAATAAGAAGAAAGGAATGCCTGCTAAGAATCTAATGGCTGAGAGAAGGAGGAGGAAGAAGCTTAATGATAGGCTTTACATGCTCAGATCAGTTGTCCCCAACATCAGCAAAGTCAGTAAAAAAGATTCAAACAAAGATTCTTTCATGTTTGTTTCTTAATGTTGTGGCTTTTTGCATGCAGATGGATAGAGCATCTATACTTGGTGATGCTATTGATTATCTTAAAGAGCTCTTACAGAAAATCAATGATCTTCATACCGAACTTGAATCTACTACTCCATCAAGCTCTTCAGGCTTAACACCGTCACCACAGACACTACCTTACCGTGTTAAGGAAGAGTTGACTCCTCATTCTTCCTCCTTGCCAAGCCCTAAAGACCAGCAAGCAAGAGTAAGAATAACAAAACTTCATTTGTTTGCTTGTGGACCAATCCATACTCTTTTAAGGCTTATTTGTTTGTTTTTTTTAAAGCAGATTGAGGTTAAGTTAAGGGAAGGAAATGCAGTGAACATTCACATGTTCTGTGGAAGACGGCCTGGTCTTTTACTTTCCACCATGAGAGCTTTGGATGACTTAGGATTAGATGTTCAGCAAGCCGTGATTAGCTGTTTCAATGGTTTTGCTTTGGATGTTTTCCGTGCTGAGGTAAACATAGTACTTTAGATGCTTTGCTGATCATTAGTTAGGTGTTGTAATAAACATGTTTTTTTTGTTTTTTTCCTAATCAGCAATGCAAAGATGGTCACGAGGTGTTGCCTGAACAAATCAAAGCAGTGCTTCTAGACACAGCTGGTTACTCTGATTTGCTTTGATTCCCAATTCCTTTGCGGAACAGAAGGAAGCATCTATGAAGCAGAGCTAGAGGTTTATAAGACTTTAATTAATTAAACTAGTCAGCAATTTTCTTACTTAGTTTCATTTCATCAGTCTTAAACTTGTATTGCATATGATAGTTATTAATTTAATCTGGCTTTGACAATATAAACATGTGTATGGGTGCATCACTTCAACCTTTTCACACTAGTTACATACAAACTCTTCTTGTCGATAAAACATACAATAAACTGTAGAAATGTTATGTTTAATACATATGCTTCCAAATTAATACATCGATCAACCGAACAAAGCTGCAAGCATTTTATACATGTGAGATCATACGTTGAACATAAGGAATATTCCGAAATAGAAGAAACCATAAAGTAAAACCAGACTTGGAGAACACGTGAAGACACTTGAAGAAGTGTTTTACTAAACGGATAAAGATGCGCAGCATCAGCATGAGTGATGACCGGTCCAAGTGGTTTTTTACGACAAAACTGCGAGACTCAATCCTCAATTTCCATTGTTTTGAGAGACACTTGAGTCGGATTAGTTCTTTCACCCTAAGTCTCATGAATAAGATTTCTTCTATGACGTCGTCTGGTAGTGATGGTGGTGTAGTCGAATCCATCTCTTTCTTCTTCTGATATGAAACAACCAATGAATGCTTCTTGTTATATATCTTGTATTCGTAAGAACCTTAATTTGCTGCAATTAAATAACGGATATTTGTAAAAATAATAAAAACATAAATTAAAATTAAAATACTGAAAGAAATTGATAAAATAGTTGCAGAATCCAGATAACAAATATCTAATGAATTTTTTTTCTTGAATTTTTAAATGTCTTGTAGTGCGATAGTTTTATAAAGCTTAGATTTCTAAGATAAAACTGTAATGTGTATATCTTTCAACACCAAAGATAGATCTACCAAACCTTTTTATGTTTTACACTCTCAGACAAAAAAAAGAAAGCAAGTAAAGAATTTGGTATGAGTTAATTACTCAGTTATCTTTAGAATAATAGGAGAGTGACTCTTTTATAACCCTTAATCCTTATGGTCAACAAGAAACCATAAAGTGGAGATTTGAGAATTAATTCTAACATTAATGATTTTGATAAATATTAAGACTTATGTTAAAAGAAATCATAATTAATTTTTTTGTATCCTTAATTGTCCATAATAGTGCTATAAATATCATAAATTAAAATAAATATTCCTTTTTACTTTGTCAACAGAACTGAAAGTAGATTTTGTAACAAAAGAATAATCGTTTGACGTATAGATCCATTTACCAAATTTCAAACTCAAATCGGGTCCAAATATCTCATTTCATATTACACTGTGGAATATGAGATATTTTACAAATGTTATTTTAACTTTTACAAGCAACTACTTTAAATCTTGGTTTTTCATTCCAACTAATCCGGTTGTTACATATGGTTACAAAAATTTATAGTGTCCACATTTGGTTATTTGACCAACGTATTCACCCAGAAATTTACTAATAAATGGTTTTAATTTATTTCGTGAAAGCTAAGAATTAGTGTATGGTTTAAATTTGGTTACCTATAAATTTTAATAATGTAATTTTAATTTCGTCCCCAAAATCAAGTTATAAAAGCTTTTTTTTTGTAACATTAAACTAGGTGGATACCCGCAATTTTGCGGGTTTGAATGTTTTGTAACAATATATTTATTATATTTTGTCCAATTAAGATATTTTTTCATCATCAAATTTTTTTTTATGTGTGTTACTGTTAAATATATTTAAAGAATAATTATTTTTGAAAAAGATGGTTATGACTATTTTAAATATCTGTTGATATTTTGTATTAAGATTTTTTACTAAAATTAGTTATATATAATATTCATAATTCAGTTTTTAATATAAATGAGTTTTGAAGGTATGTAGTATTGAAACATTTGATTTTTAAATCATTTATAGCTAAAGTCATATGTCTTTATTGAAATTTAAAGATAAAGCAATATGATTGTTACACATTTTCTATATATTCATATTCAACTACATAGGAGTAAATATAAAACTACTATATCAATTATATAAATTACTTTTGAAATATATTAGTATATAGTTTATAAATACTTGAGTAATAAAATGATTTTATGAGCATTACATATATTTTATATAAATCACATATTTAATTACCATAAAATATTTTATGAAATATTTTTATATCGTTTGGATACTGGTAAAAATTGGTTCTAGAAGTGATTTTCTTACTCATAAAATAAAAAAATATAAAATTTATTAAAGAATCAAGATATAATAGTTTTTCTAAAACTCAAAGACACCTACAAATATTAATTAAGTGAGTCCTCGTTTAATATAAAATAAATTTTCAAAATACATTTTGATAAGGCAATGTAAATAATTTATAAATTTATTTATAATTTTATAAATGATTTATAAAGCATGCATGAAATTTATTAAACATTAACAGTTATTATGATACTTTATATACAAATATAAGGCTTTTTATACGAATATAAAATCATTATATCAATTCAAATAAACATTTTTGTTTATTATTTTATGTAATTTATAAATATATAAAAAAATTGATCACATTATTACTCTTTCATAGTTTCAACAATTAGTTACCATAAATAATTATTTCTTAAATTAAGTAGATTATTTGGAAAGTTGTAATTGAGTTATCGTTAAGATATAATTATAATAAATAAAATAAAAAATCATCGACCAATCAAATTATAACAATTTGAAGAGTCCATGTACGTAATAAAAAATCACTTATGTTATTTCTCAATCAATATATAGTAGGTTTTATCAGGTAAAATTATTCTTAAAACAAAGCTAAATTATTTTAAAATAATATTAAAAACATGCTTGGATTTTGTAATATTTAAAATAGTTATTATATAATTATATTCAAATACAGTTCACCAAGTAGAGTATAAAACTATTATAATTATCTTATACAAAATATCGTTCATTATATTTTATATTTTATAAATATTAAAAGTAATAAATAAAACATTATTAATCTTTCTATAATTTTGAGAATTAGTTTCCACAAATTTTTATTTGTAATATTCTTTAGATTATATGGCAAGTGATGTTAAATGATTTTAGACTTACCATAAATTTTTAGATCTAAATTAAATTAAGAACAATCGATCAATCAAATTATAACAATTTCTTGAAACTTCACCTATGAGCGACACGTCACCAGAAATCATTAAAGTGACTTCTCATTTAATATATAGGATATAAAGTGATATGAAATACAAAATTTGAGAAGATTTTCTTATATTAATTATTATTTCTGGCAGCAAATCTTACTCCATTAATAGAAGAATCAGAAAAAGATGAGATCTCATTTAATAGAATTACTACATGTGGCATTTTATCAGGCTTAAATGTTGGAGTTACCTTTGGACAATGAAAAAGTTTTAAACTAAATTGATTACTAATATAAATCTATTTAGTGATAAATTGTGAAGTTATACAAATTTGGTGACTAAATTATCTTATTGACTAAGCTAAATCAACTTAATGACAAATGGCTAAGCTAAAGTACATTTGGTGTCTAACCAAAAATAACTTGGTGACAAATGGCTAAAGATTAATAAATTTAATGAGATATGTTTAAATTACTTTATGATTAACCTTGATAAATCTCTCATATAAATAAACATCTTAATTCTCTATTAACAATATATTCACATAACAATCTTACACAAGATAAGTTTTCACATATAAAATTCCATCAATACCTCAAAGTTTTTTGAAGTAAGTCTTGAGACTATAATGTGAATGTTAAGTTCACAGATGTTGTTTTGGGTGATGCAAGTCGTTTAGAAACCGTCTCTTACCTATGGATGATTTATTGACTTAATAAAAAAAGATCAAATCTTGATTCAAACGTTTTTTCTTAACGGTTTTAAAACGTTTCACTACTTTATATTGTTTCCTACTAGTTTTGTTTCACAATTTTCAATCTCGATTTTGGCATCTTAACATTGTGTTTTTACTAACACTAATAAACAAGACTTGTGCTGTTCAAGAATGTAACAGACTCATTATCTATGTTCTTTGATTTTGTGTCAAAATGTTTCTGTGTCAGATTCATATCAATGTCGGTTCTTTCATCCCGGACAGGACGAGATCGTCAACGTTACGACAACAACTTCCGTCTCGTTTCTGGGTAAATATAAAAAAAAAATCATTTCACTAAAACTCTTTTTCTCTTTTCTCTTTACGATTCGCAGTTTTGTTACTGTGGGAAACATATACAAAACATGAAAGCAAAATGGTTGATTTCTTAGTGTTTGATGAACAGATGCATTCCGTATCGTCTGATCAAAGACAATGAACTTGAAGTTCTTATGGTTTCGTCTCCTAATCGTCATGACCTTGTCTTCCCAAAGGTTTTTTTTATTTCTTATGAAAATCTCCCTCTCTTACTGTCTTTATATATGAAAACTCATTTCTGTTGTGTACGGTATTATTATTATTATCAGGGAGGATGGGAAAATGATGAGACAGTTCTTGAAGCTGCTTCTCGCGAAGCCATGGAAGAAGCTGGAGTTAAAGGCATACTTAGAGTAAGTTTTCAATCTTTAAAGCAGCAAAGTGATTTAAAAAGTTTGTTTCTCATTTATTTGGTCATTTGTTTCAGGAAGTTCCTTTAGGAGTTTGGGAATTTAGAAGCAAAAGTAGTATTAGTGCCAACCCGGATGATGAATCTTTTGGTGGATGCAAAGGCTATATGTTTGCATTAAAGGTAACCGAAGAACTCGAGGATTGGTCAGAGAGTGGGAATCGCCAGAGAAAATGGGTAAGAAGCTCAAAATATAATAACAAGTATTAAGATCCAATGAACTGATGATGATTCTTTCTTTTCATATATAACTTTGGGGATTACATGAAAAATGTGCAGTTGAATGCTAAAGAAGCATTGGAGCTGTGTCGGTATGAGTGGATGCAGAGAGCACTTGAAGAGT